GATCTCCCCACAAGCGTAAGATCCAAGATTGGATTGAGCGTATTCTTATACATATTCCAAAGATAATTGAGCTACAAGGTGGTAATGAGTATATAGAGGGGAGAGATAGGCGTTGTGTAGGAGAGCGGCCAGATTTCGGCTAAATTATTCTTGGCAGGACAAAACTTTTGTGAGGCACCTCCGTACACATGGGGTGTTTTTTATAATCGGTTCTGGTTCCGCGAATGAGACTTTGCGAACTTGGAACTTTGTAGTAAGTAATGCCATGGACCTGAGGAACCGCCCCCCCCCTTTCCCCCACCGTTCGGTGTGCATACATACATACGCACACACACACACACATACAGGCTTTGAAATAAACAAAATAATCAATCTTTTGAATTTTTTTTTCTTCTTCCCCTCTCTTGTTCGAGGTTGGGGGAGGGGTTAGAAACGTTACTCAGCGAAGGCCCTTGCATGCATGCATACATGGCATGGGGGGACATGGTACACCTAGTACGTATGTAAATACCATATACATGTATGGAGTAAATAAGCTGTAGATTCTTCGCAAATGTATGCAGGTCAGTCACATGGGAATAGAAGAATTTTTTTTTCTCTTATTATGAAACTCTTGGGTATGATACATAGTATTTTGATAGATTGATTGATTGATTGATTGATGGTTTTATCTGAACATGGGCGCAGGGAAGGGGGTCAAGTATGACAATCCTACGTAATATCCAACGTTTGATTTTGAGTTTACAAGAGTTTTTTTTGACGTTGACGTTTGACACGCGCGCGGGCGGGCGGGACGTTTTACTTTTTTTTTCCCCTGGCGAGACCGTTAGGATAGTAGTAATGATAACTATTGATAATGGTAATATGTCATAGTACGTATGCGTTGTGGGCCACAAGAAAGAGAGAGAGAGCGAGAAAAAAAAGGTTTGCAAAGTAAATACGTACGTACGTATGTGTACGCACGTAGGAAGAGGCAAAGGAAGCCAAGGTCGGTGGGGGGGGGCGGACCTCCGCTCTTGCACTCGACTTGACTCGACTCAACGCCTGTCGCAAAAAACCTCACTTCACTCCACTCGGAAAACTGATAACACCATACCATACGATACTATACAACACAGCCTAGTATAACCACCCCACCCCCCCAAGGACAGCCAAATATAGCTTAACGTGCGTAAAAACCGGCGTAGCAGAAAATATTGACCGGTTTCGAGAAGGGGTTATCGGGGGAAGGGGATGGGAGTCTTAAGATCGCCCAGCTATAAGTCAACGGGTTAGCCGAACCGAGTACACGAAACAAATGCCTCGGAGAACCCCACGAGTAAAGTAAGCCATTTTGCCCGGCATGTGGAAATGGGAAACTGCGGAGCTGCGTCATGTGATTGGGGGCTGCAAATGCGATTGCCGAGGGATACGAGGCATAGTGTTGGTGTGTACATAGGGGGGGGGTTGTAATGCGGACTACCGCAATTCTAAGATGAGGAAGATACGTATCTAGTCAGTCACTCATGCTTGGTCTGCGAATCCGACTCGACGGTTTATGCGTCCCTTGTCGTCGGCTACAAGCTGACATGCGTTGAGACATGTATGGGGAGGGTTCGCGAACTCATTGCGCAAGCGTTAGTGGGTTAGTTAGTTAGTTAGTCCTTGTTGCTAGCCTCTCGTCAGATGTAGGTAAAGCAGAGGTATCCCGGTAACAACCAGTTTGCAACCGCCCCATTTTGTACATGTATGTGCGCGTCTAGCGTTCGGGGGAAACGCTCGTTTGGGAACTCGGGTACGCACAACACGCAATCGCCTCGCCGGGCCCCTCTCTTGCATGTTCCGGTGTGTGTCGCAAGCTTTTTCTGCTTTTGGGGCGTGAGGCGGCCGAAATCGTGCCATAAAGGTCGGGCCCCCCACTCCCCCACCCCACAGGTGGCTATTGTCATCAAGACCCGTTTTGGGGCTTGCGCTTCATGTGTAGATTAGTCATGATTTGGAGACTGATGCTGCTGCTCGAGCCTCAGGAAATGGCGGCGTCGAGGCAGGGCGCGGCTCGCTTGGAGTAAGGACCCAGGGACTAACATGGCTGTGAAGGTGTGTGGTGAGAGAATGCAGGGCACTGTCATTCAAGCTGTATCGACTCCAATATCCAATAGGAATGTGCCCATGGTCTTCCAGAAGTCGTGTATTGAGACAAAGCTCTCCCAGTGCGTTTTCAACACAGACATTTTTCAACACAGACGTCTCGTCCTAGCTTTTCGCATAGTATCCGCTCATCGTAGAAGGTCAATTCGTCTGGGCTGCGTTTCTCGAAGATCGACGTTGTGATGGACCTGCGTCCTTGAAAAAGCAACATGTGATCATCATGCCGCCCAAGGTTCGAGCACTAGCCATGTGCCAATATTGACACTGCGAACTTTGTCAATGCCCCGGGCAGAGCCAACGCTTCGTTCGTGATGTGTTCTGTGAATTCGATCAGCAGTATGCTTTCCAATACCGAGCAAATCCGTACGTACTTTGACGCAGACCCTACACGGGAAATTACAGTAGCTTTGCGATGCCCTGTGCTTGCATCCTAAAGACCGTGTGACATTGAATAGTCGCTATTTTTTGTCTTGTCGAGTTCCGATAGTCTACTGACGTAAGACAACAAAGAAAGCATATTGTTGAGGCGCGAAGAGAAGATTGGTCGCTTACCGCAGACGAACATGCAGTATGACAAGGCGACTTTCATATCTTTCCTCTCCAACTGCACCTGTTGCCCGGGTAGAAACTAGGGTTGCTAGCGACCCAGGTACAAAAACCTGTAACGCGAATGTCGTGTGATGTTGGGAAGTTGTCAAGGCGTTTACCCAAGACAAAAGAAAAAACGTCTCAACAACGATCCAATCGAAAATAGGACCCTGACAAAGTAACCAATTAGGAACGACATAGAATATCAGTGCAACAGCCTGAGCCAGATTTTGAGCCATGTAACATGGTTGCTATAGTCGCGGGAGAACAAGTATATACTATGGTACCTCTTTCCATTTTCTGTCGTAAAGGGTACCGACCCAAATGCTGTCTTTGTCTAGCTTCGTTTCAACAACAGTAGCAGTTGGCGTCAAAGCGACAAGTGACGTTGGGTGCACAGTTGCGTAGGATAGTGTGACATCTAATGATGTTGTGGCGCAAACTTCAAAAGAAATGGTGGGAATCATTACTTTGCCATGTCTCTGCACAAGCCCACAAATGAATCCCATTCTCGCCTCATAGGGTAATGATGGTAGTGCACCGTGTTGGCGCTCGTCAAGTGCTACGGAATGGCACGTGAATGCTGGTGAGTTTTCGCGGCTCATGCAGGTTCGCCTTGGTGATTTTCCATCTGGATTGCTTCACATTTTCCTCGGTCGTCAAGAACCGACGTCATCTGTCATCACATGAGCATCCGTGATGGTGACAGTAGACTCGAAACTGTCGAAACGCCCAATGACACGGCAAACTTACCAGCATCATGAGACGCTGCAGACGGGAATTAGCAATGCCATTCAACGGCTTAGTCCATGAAACCCGCCGTCTCATCCATAATGGCCGCGAAACTCTTAGTCTCGCGATGCTTGCCACTAGTAATGGGCGGGAATTGTGACATTTTGACCCGAAATTCATCCGACCGATTTATCGCAGGCGCCAGATTTCTGCTCTTGTTAGCAAAAGACCACTTCAGTTAGAGGTCAGCGTACGTGACATCGCCGCGGATGAGATAGTTGTTGCGCTCCATTGCATCAGCGAGCTCTTCCTGATGGTTGTCGAGAAGCCCTGTATTGGGCACGACTACAAGTGGGATTTGATATCGAAGGGCTTCTAGGATCGAGCCCGACCCTGAATGAATTAGCAGAGCATATTTACTACGCATTCTACGCATCCAGTACCAGCATGTGAGATGACTAGGCCTTTTGATCTCTGGACCAGCTGAAACTGCGCTTGGAGACCTTCTGGGTTGAAATCAATCCCATCTATTATCAACTCCCGCTGTGATTGAGCCTGTTGTAAGTGGGCGCAAGCATCGCTAGCACATTTAGTATAAATGTCCTTTGCTGAGCCATACTGAACCAGGAGATGTGTGAAGCCTCGTTGCCGCAAAGCATCCAAGCTCGGGGGGCTCAGTACAGATTCAATAAGAGCAGTAAATGGTGCTGTGGCTCCAGTAGTGACGAAGCAGAGTTTCGAGTCAGCTGTCCATTTCCAGGTGTCGGCCATGATAGACGCAAAGGCGATTGTGTAGTTTGTCTGTACGCAAAATTTACGGGCCAATAGGGTTTCCAGTGCAGTATTAATCAAGATACAACCAAGCGATGCGAAGCAGTTGTCAGAGCAAAGACATGCAGTAGGACAGGAAGCACGAAAGCGGAGGTCGGGCGGTCTTTCCTTCAATTGGTCCGGCGGGCGGTGGCACTTTCCTCCCAGCGCCAAGCAATCCTGCATGGCGAAAAGTCGACGACGGCATTACCACCCCCTCCCGTATCCAATGGCGTCGACAACACGCAGGCTGCTGTTGCAGTCAAGACAATGCCCGTCGCGGATACGACCCCGAGCAGGACCGAGACATACAAGCACACAATGGCAGCGCCCAATGTCTATAACGGCTCGTCGATATGCCGACGAGCCCACGAAAGAGGGCTCTGCAACTTCAGCCAATGCCAACCCGCTTACAGAGACGCTCGATGAGCTCAGCCCGGAATTGAACTACTCGAATACCACGCCTTCAAAGGACTTCAAAGAAATGTCGCAGACGGAGCGTGACGCCGCCATGCTGGATAATCTGCGTGCCTCGCTCGCAGAAATCGACCCCGCAGCCGTTGCCGACGCCCTGCGCAAGGGAAAGCGCGGACTTCCCCAGACGTCGGATTTCGGGCTGGAAGCAGACGAGGATTTTGATATTGAAGAGGACGACAAGAGGAGGGCTGCAATGGGCTTCTGGGCCGAGGGAGAAGAGAGTATGGGGCCGGATGAGGACTACTACGGCGACGATTTGACGACGCATGGCCATGGAGAGTTGCAGCAGCACAGGGAGTTGAGGGAGTATGCTCGGCTGATTGCGTGGGAGCTGCCGCTTCTGAGTCGTACGTTCTGAAGTCTGCATGGAGAAGTGGATATGAATATATATTGATAACTTCTAGATCTCGCCCAGCCCTTTACACCCCCCACAGCAGCAACCCCGTTCCGGTTCCGCTACACATCGTATCTGGGGGAGTCGCATCCCGCCAGCAACAAAGTCGTAGTTGAATTCGCGCCCGCAGACCTGATGCAATCGCACTCTCTCACGGAGCCGCAAGTCTCCAAGCTAATCAAGCTCGCGGGCCCGCGCTACAACCCGTCGTCCCAGATCATCAAGCTCTCGTGCGAGCAATTCGACACGCAATCGCAAAACAAGCGCTTCCTCGGCGACACCATTGCCGCGCTGATCAAAGAAACACAAGAGGGAAAAGACACGTTCCAAGACGTCCCCTTTGACTTTCGCCATCACACGCCCAAAAAACGACACGAGTTCCCCAAGGAATGGATCTTGACCAAGGACCGCAAGCAGTATCTCGACGACAAGAGGAGGCGCGCGGCGTACCTGGAGGACCAGAGGGCTGGCAACGGCGAGCTCGTGGATGGAAAGAGGATTGTAGAGACCAATCTGCCGTTGATGGCGCAGAGCTCGCCTGTACCGGAGAATGTCTTGGTTGGCGGGCTGAGGGGGAAGCCGCTAAGGTAGTTGTTGTCTTGGGACTGAGCAACCAACCTATTGCCAAAGCATATCTGACCCTTGTTTTGTTTGCAAGAACTGTATCCTGCTACCGCCTTTTTGTATCATTACAAGGCCTCTCGTCTTTTTTCTTCTTTGCCGTATGCCCCTTTAACAAGTGAAGAGACCCGCGTACAGGTGTTTCCAGGAGTGTTACTTGGGGGAGAAGCTGTGCGGCCATGTATGTTATGTATGTTATGTTATGTTGATCTTTCTCTGAATACTTCATGATACTATATCTGGTAACTGGCTTTCGCATCGCTCGTTGGTTCAAGACCCCGGGGGGGCCGTTGTATGGATTGAAGATGCAATCTCCAAGGGCGAAGCATATACACACACCAGAAAAACCTACAACGTGTGATATCAACAGACGCGCCCCCGTGTCTGACCCGAAACAGTAGAAAAAACAAACAAACAAACAAACAAACAAACAAACTCGAGGGTGGAGAAGCAAGGCGGAAATCCCCAGCCCAGAAAACGAAGAATCAAAAATCCAGTCAGTGGGTATAATATCTAGACCCAACGAATGCGCGCTTGTAGTAACGCGCCCTCCTCCGTGCCCCCGTACATCCGTGCCTCTCTCCCTTCTGGCTTTCCAAAAAAAAAGTTAAAACGCCCATGACGCCTCTTCTCCATTATTCCATGAACGGCTTTATACTACTAGTACACGTAATTTTTGAAAAAAAAGGAAAAAAATGAGATGCTGCAGTCGAGCTAATATGCGACATGGGACCTCGTTAAAACAAAAAAGGCTGCATTGCTGTCTGTTCGGTCAACAACAATGTTTTTCTTCAAGCTGCCGGTCCAGTGCTTGGGCGAGTCTTCTTCCTGCCTTTGGCTATGGGAGTGTCGCCGTCGTCGCGCTTGCGCTTTGTGGGCCGGCTGCTTCCACCCTTGGGCCTGTAGGCTGTGTCGTCATCGCCTGCGCCTGTCTTCCGCCGGCCCTTTCCGGTTTCTGGGGCGGCCGAGTCGTCGTCTTCGTGTTCGCGTGGGCCCGGTGTGCCTATGGCCGACTCTCTCTTTGCCTTTGCGGTTGCTTTTGTTGCCTTCGGGGCAGCCGACTTTTCCGACAGATTCTCGTGGTGCGGGCCGTCCTTGTCCTGCAGGAAGACCTGGGGCTGGTGCTTGCGCAGCCAGTTGTAGACGCTGTCGGGATTGCGCACGGTAAGGTCCTTTTCGCTGAGCGGCGGCTGGGCCGAGGCGAGGCGGATGGGGCGGCCGTGGTGCAGCGACTGGTCGAAGCCGGGCTGCTCGAGGAGCTGGTCGGTGGCGAGGAGGTATTCGTCTTCGTGTGCGGGGGACATGTAGCCGGGGGCATGCTCGGTGATGTCGATGGCCGGGACGGGGTGGTCGGCAAAGTCGTGGCGCGTCGTGTGCGGCACCCGGTGCTCGAGGCTGGCGAGCGACTTGAGCGTCTGCTGTATCGACTGCGACGTGTGCAGCTGGTCGGCGCGGGTGGCGTACTCGTCGGCGGTGATGGCGCCATTGGCCAGGTCGTCGCGCAGGGCCTGCAGCTGCAGCTTGATGGCGAGGGCATCGGGGCCCGACTCGAGCGAGGGCACGGCGGTGTCGGCGGGCGACAGCTTGCGCAGGTCGAAGCGCAGGCGCGGGTTCACGCGTGACTGGTCGTTGAGCTCGAGGAGGATGTCCAGCAGCTGGTCGTTGTTTTCCTGGAGGCGGCGCGCCGTGCCCATGGCCTTCCACTCCTGCTTGATGAGGTTGTCACTGTCCGTCATGGCCTCGTCGAACTTGATGCGCATCTTGCGATACTTGCGCCTTTGGACGTGGTTAGCGGGGGGCGGCGCAGTCTCGGGGGGGGCGGCGCGTCCGTTACCTCCATGAGCGCTTGACGGGCTTCTGTACAGCGTCGCCCGCGTCTGCCTGCGGCGGCTCCTGCGCCATGGCTGCGGTGGTGGTGGTGGTGGTGTTGGCAGTAGTAGCAGGAGTGGTGGCAGCGGCGGTGGTGTCGGCGGCGACGGGGGTGGTGTCGGGCGCGGGCGGCGCAGCTTCAGAGGCCATGGTGGGCGTGTGGATGGGGTGTTGTGGATGGCAGCTCGGGGGCGCTGGATGGGCTGGCTGGTCGTCGTCCTGGTGGCGGGCTGGGCTGGGCGAGGGCGCGCGTTCTAGAGTGCCATGGTTGCGCTGTGCACGGCCTCGGGGATGGAGAGGAACACGGTCACCGTCTTGGGGAGCATCAGGTGGATCTGCCACGCTTGCCGTCCTTCACGCCTGCCGAGTGAGGAAACCGTATCCCCTTGCCTCCTTTACGCGCTCCCCCTACACACTGCACGCTGCCCGCTGCCCGCTGCCCGCTGCCCGCTGTCCGCTGCCCATCCGCATCCAGGCAGCCATCGTCCATCGTCCATCGTCCATCGTCCATCGTCCATCCCACCACCGGCTGCTGGCGCCATCACTGCTGCCACGCCCACGCCCACGCCTCCATCACCACCAGAAGCTCGGACTCGCCGGCACGGTGTTGCATCCATACCGAGAGAGACCCTGAAAGTACCGCCTTGCCGCCTTGCCGCCTTGCTCCTTCTGGCCCGTCTAACCTGCAGGCTACTGCTGCTCTTCCGCCTGCTGCTTGCGACGCCCTGATAGATACAAAACCTCACACGACCACCGCGCTGCCCGCCCGCCCTCTCTCCCCCACACGCACCCTCTCGGCCTCGCGCCATAGCATCAATACCGCCAAACTGTCGCCCATACTCCTCAACCGCACCCCCCGCCTCAGTTTCGCTGGCGACCCCCGGCCCCGCCAATCGCCCTCGACGTCTGCCTACTCCGCCATGTCGCTCGACCCGGCAAAGGACGCGAGGCGGCGCCGTAGCAGTAGTCTTGTCTACAAGGAGCCGCCCGAGTCGCTCGAGCAGCTGAGCGACCAGTCGGCACTGCCCAATCTCAACGTAGAATGGGTCAATGCAAAGGGTGAGCCCACCCCATCACGCATGCCTGCTGCTGCTGCTCCTCCTCCTCCTCCTCCTCCTCCTGCAGCATCTCACCCTCAGCTCGACGACAGGCTGCCTGGCTGACACACGCAGGTGCTTGGGCTATCCACTTTGTCCTCATCTTCTTCGGCAAGATCCTCTTCGACATCATCCCCGGCATGTCGCAGGAGGCCTCGTGGACCCTCGTCAATCTCTCGTACGTGGCCGGCTCGTACCTCATGTTCCACTACGTGCGCGGCGTCCCCTTTGACTTCAACTCGGGCGCCTACGACAACCTCAACATGTGGGAGCAGATTGACAACGGCGACCAGTACACGCCCGCCAAGAAGTTCCTGCTCAGCGTCCCCATATTGCTCTTTCTAGTCAGCACCCATTATACCAATTACGACTTGACGTATTTCCTCATCAACTGTTTTGCCACGATTGCCGTCGTCATTCCCAAGCTGCCTTCGGTACGTCTGCCACCACCACCACCACCACCACTACCCCACTACGCACACCCTGCTAACCTCGACAGCTCCACCGGATACGATTCGCTTTCTTCAACCACCCCCCCGATGACGCCTAGCCGACTCGTTGTACCTTTATACTTGCATTGGCGCGGTTGGTTGTAATTCTTGCCTGTATTTTTAATACCACCCGCAGTGGGCCGTGGACAGATTGAGTAGCATTGCCGCGCAGGAACGGCATGTGGGCCATGCGTATATGGAAAGGCGCTTTATTCATACAAAAGTAGCGGAATTGATGCTTCGCGTTTTCACGTGAAGCTTGCGGCTGCTTCAGCTGCATACCTGCATCCTCACTGCAGCCCCTCCCGTGACGGCTCGATAATTGCCTGCCCTCCAATGCCAATGCCATCGCCGATGACGCTTAGACGATATTTCTGCACCTCACTGCTCAAGAACGTGCGTTGGACGTACCGGGTCCACCACTTCCGCATATCCATAGCGCAGTCCAAGCGCGACCAGCCAAGTGCCTTTCCAGCCGCCGACCGTCATTGACCAGCCATCCTACCGTAATTCCTCAGTCCGAGGCGTCTTCGTTCATTCCTGCACCTGGCACTTCTTAAGCATCATGTTCCCCGCTTGACAGTGCCGCTCCGCCGAACGAGTCCAGTCCAACACATCGCGCCAGTTCTCTTTGGGCCGTCGCTTCTATCATCTGACGTCACCAACACCGATCGCGAACCGCAGCTTAGAGCTTCAAGCCTCGCAGACACTTTTCCACACGCACACCCTCGAAACGAATACATTAGTTCCCATCGACTGAATAGTTCATCATGGTCTGGTCTCAGCTCGAGCCTACCGGCCCGCATGTAACTTATGTCGCGCTTACCTTCTTCCTCATACTATACGCCCTCTTCTCTGTTTTGATACGGAACCGGCTCCATCTTTCGGAGCCACCGCTGGCCACCTTGTTCGGTATTGTCAGTGTTACATACCTACAAACGACTCGAGAAACAAGACTGATTCCATCTTCTTCAGATTGTCGGACCGCGCGCCCTCGGTCTTCTGCGGCCTTATGAATGGGGCTTTTCGGTATGGGCTCTCGCATGCTCTCATGAAATCATACTTACCAGCAGCAGGATGATTTGATCCAAGAAACTACCCGTTTAATCGTTGGCATTCAATGTTTTGCTGTCGGTCTGGAGCTCGAGGATCGCTACCTGTCAAAGAAGGCGTATGCACTGCTCGCCCTGCTAGGTCCCGTCATGACATTCGGCTGGCTCATCTGCGCCTTTTTTATTACCTTCATCTTCCAAACGGATTTCGTCACAGCCATGACAATTGCAGCTTGCTTGACGCCTACCGATCCAGTACTTGCAGCCTCGGTTCTCTCCAACAGCCAGTTCAGCACACGGGTACCCAAACGCATCAGGGATCTGCTGAGCGCAGAGAGTGGATGCAACGACGGCGTATCGTTCCCTTTCTTGTACATTGGACTTAGCCTCCTTCTCAAGAACACTGCGGGCAGTGTCTTGAAGAAATGGTTTCTCGTCACTGTGCTGTACCAATGCGTGGTAGGCGTCATTGTGGGCATCGTCCTCGGACACGTCTTCAACATGCTGTACCGCATCTCACATGCACGCGAATGGATGGGCAGGCCCGCCTACTTGACCTTTTACCTGCTTGCTGCCATATTTTCCGTCGGACTGGCAGCCGTCCTGGGTGTCGACGACTTTCTTGTGGCTTTCTTTGCCGGCCGTGGATTCTCTCACCGGCAAAGATCACCTCTGGCCGAAACAGCTCTTCCTGTCATTATCGATATGATGATCAACTCTGCCTTCTTCATCTTCTTCGGCGCAATGATACCTTGGGACAGCTTCAACAAGCTTGACGCCATCACACCCGGTCGACTGGTGGGCTTACTCGTTCTCATCCTTCTCTTCCGCCGCATTCCAATCGTCTTTTCTCTCTTCCAATTGAAGCTCCTACCTTTTGTGAAGACGAAAACCGAGGCGCTTTTTGTTGGACACTTTGGGCCCATGGGGGTTGGGGCGCTCTTCCTCGCTATCGAAGCGCGTGCGCAGCTCGAGACGGGCACATCTTTGCCTTTGCCAAGCCCACCCGACGATCTTCCGATTGAGAAACAGAGGACCGTGACTTTGATCTGGCCCATTGTTTGCTTCATTGTTCTCGGCAGCACAATGGTGCACGGCTTCAGCACACTTGCTGTCAGTATTGGAGGCCACTTTGCACGTAAGGAGGCTGAGCGGGCTCCACTGATAGGAGGCGAAAGCGAGGGATTGCATGGCATGATCCATGACGAGGAAGAGGACACCGAAGTCGAGGACAATTACGAGTAGGAGGTGTCTGTGTGTACCTGGGATGTACTAGACCAAAGTAGTGGCGGGGGAGTTCTTTTTGTTGATGTATGCGCTTGGACCTTTACGCGCGTCACGGAATCATGCTTTGGGAGGCGTCACATGGCAATGGTAGCCATGGTTAATGTTCACATTCAATATTGATATTGCTCAACTGAGGGTTGTATCAATATATTTTAGATAATAACGTGAAGTGATCAAGTCTCCACAGTATCACACGAATCCCTTTTTGGGCATAATGGCCTCGTCGTATCTATTGTTGCTACTTTCCTAAACCAGCTTAGCACATCTGCACCGTTTATTCCCGCGTAACGTCTGCCTCCCAGCCTTCTACCATCAACTCTGAAAATGGCGAGCAAGACCTTGGGAGAGCAAGCACCGCTTCCTGCATCACAGAATGCTCGTATCACTTCTTCTAAGCGCAAGTTCTTTGTGGGTGCTGCATTCGGTTTTGCTTCTCTAGTATTACTCAGGCATTGCCGAATTGCACTTCCATCACTTGAATGGCACCTCCCTTCCAGCCAAAGCCACGCCGAATCGAAACAGCAATGCTACCAAGCCGAGCCCCTGTTCCCTTCGAGGAAGACAAAAGAGCTGGATGACATGGAAACCTACCTCAGCTCTGACGACTTCCGCAATGTTGCTATCGAGCGCTTATCAGGTGCTGTGAAGATCCCTACTCAAAGCTACGACGACATGGGCGATATCGGCACTGACCCTCGATGGGATATTTTCTACTCATTTGCAGACTACCTCAGCAAGACGTATCCACTAGCCCATGCCACGCTTCAGCTTGAAAAGGTCAACACGCATGGCTTGCTGTATACATGGGCTGGTACGGACCCCAGCCTCAAGCCTCATTTGCTGATGGCGCATCAAGATGTTGTGCCTGTTCCAGACTCGACAATCAAGCAATGGACACACCCACCATTCTCGGGGTATTACGATGGAAAGGCTGTATGGGGGAGAGGTGCGAGTGACTGCAAGAACCAGCTCATGGCCATCCTCAATGCAGTCGAGGCACTTATTTCCGCCGACTTTACGCCCAAACGAACACTGATTTTATCTTTTGGATTTGACGAGGAAATTTCTGGTGGAGAAGGAGCACAGCATCTCTCAGCATACCTGGTCAAGAAACTCGGGCACAATTCCATCGCGGCTATTGTCGATGAAGGCGCGGTGAACATTGAAGCGTGGGGCGGAAATTTTGCCATCCCCGGCGTCGCAGAGAAAGGCTATGTCGATGTCGATATCGTTGTGCGCATGCCGGGCGGCCACAGCAGTATTCCGCCACCGCACAATGGCATTGGAGTGGCCAGCGAGCTCATTACACTAATCGAAGCGAACCCCTATGAGCCGCACCTTGCTGACGAAAACCCCTATCTCGGTCTTCTCCAATGCGGCAAAACGCACGCCCCAGAATTTCCACACAAGCTGGGCAAGTTGCTTGAAAAGCGATCCCGACAAAGTGCAACCTGCAGGAAGCACTCCAAGAAAGATGAGCTCGCTCTCGAGGCAGCCAAATCTGGCCTGGGCGTTAAATACCTGTTTACGACGTCGGTCGCCGTCGACATTATCCACGGCGGAGTCAAGAACAACGCGCTGCCCGAACGTACCCAAATGACGGTGAACCACCGTATTAATGTTGGCTCTACCTCTTCAGAAATCAAAGCACACATCTCCTCTCTCGCCGCGCAGGTAGCAAGCAAGTACGGCCTCGCACTGCACGCCTTCAATGGCTCCGAGACCCCCTCGAGCATCACGCTCTCGCACGGCCCCACCCTCCTGGAGCCCGCCCCCGTAACGCCAATATCGTACCACTCTCCTTGGAACCAATCCATCTCGACTCCCTTTTTTATCCTCTCTGGCACCACGCGCGCGCTGTACGGCACAGAATTAATCGTAAGCCCTGGTCTCATGACAGGAAACACGGACACGCGCTATTATTGGGATTTGAGCGAGAACATCTTTCGGTATGGACCTGGCTGGGACAAGGACCAGGTCGGCATGGGGAATGTTCATACGGTGGATGAGCGTGTTGGCGTGCAGGCACATCTCGATACTGTAAGGTGGATGTGGGGATGGATTAGGAACATGGATGAGGCGGTGCTGGAGTGAGGAGTCCGTGGGGTGACATGGCAGTATCTTGTATACGTATGAATTGTGAAAGGAGGTTGTAGAAATGCAATTGTCGCTTGATCAGTGGCCGCAGGTAGTCGAAAGACGGCAGCTGACTATATTTTCCTCGCATCTGGGCTTTTTGTTGCGCTGTAGACACTATTATGCTTCAGGAAATATTTGCCGAACAGTATGACTACAGCTCTCTGATGGATCTCCTGATGCTGGAGTGAATATTACTCATCACACACTTCTGATAACATTGCCGCGCCCTCTGGACGAGCATGGCTACTACGCATACAGTTTGCCTTGCAGAGTACATGCTGAGACTGTCCACAGCGGCGATTCCATGGGATACGACGGCTGTGGCTGCGTTGAGAACCAAAGAACCAAGGATGCGGTGGATGAGGCGACGCTATATGGCGGGATCCCACCCAGCTAGTTTCCAACGGTACGGCGGGAATCCAGATGAACTCAGTGCAGTGCACATAAGCAGGATCTGATAAGCAAAGATGACATTCACCAGTGACTGGAGCGAGGCGATTGCACTCCGACTTCTTCCTTGTGTCGGGCCTATGTCGACGGGATTTGCTCACGCAGCGTTTGCCGTGTCTTACAGGCAGCCCAACTCTGCTATCAAAAAGACACGGAAGAAACTTTCTCAAGCAATGCTCGGTCGCGTATGGTGCAGACTCGGCCGTGATGACGGGTACTTGGCCGTCAGCGCGTGGGACCATATGCATAAGACGACATGTGCATGTGCATGTGCCGGCGTGCTGGGAGCGCTTCCAACAGCCGGCGGCTTTTTCGCCAGGAGACGGCGTATTGGGAGGAGGATTGTTGTCGTGGAGGCCCGGCGCCCAAGGATAGCAGATAGCGTGAGAAGCGATCGTGTGTCTTGGTGATGTCGCCCAAGCATTTGCTGCCGATCTTGACTCCAATCAGGGGCTGACACACGCCGTCGACCATTCACACGGTGGCGAGAGCAGCCAATTGCGGGGTACCGGCTTACGACAACAGGCTAGCTTTGCGTCCAGCCGTCGGCGTCACCCTTCACAGCCCCAAGCCTTCCAAGAAATCGCCGTCGTACGTATGATCCCGCTTTTAAAATGGTACCCCCGGGTCTATCTCACGCAGTCCCGCAGCACCCACAAACAACACAGCAGCAGCAGCAGCATCGTCGACGCGCCAAAAGTTGCAAGATATGGCGTCATACTTTGATCTCCCGCCCCAGCATACCGCGCCGCCTGCGACTATCCACGACCTGTCTGAGGGCCAGCGAAACCAGTTGGGCCGAACAAACAGCCTATTGTCTCCCGCCATAACCCAGATCCTTGCCGGACTAGGCGATGACCACTCGGACAGCAGCAGCAGCAGCAGTGACGACGAACCGCGAGGCGTCTGGGGGGAAAAGGAGCACGTGACCCAGCATATCACCAAGGAAATGGGCGCGCGCAAAATACACCCCGACAAGCAGCGCCACAACACTGCTCAGGCACCTAGGCCGTCGAGCCTTTCACCAAACAGGAGCCACATGAAGTCATCCAAGTCGCCCGCGTCACGTGCCAACGGAGACGGCTCCGCCAAACTTGCCAATAAACAGCCACATATGGCGCGCTTCCATTCTCTACGAAGCATGCTGTTTCAACAGCGAATCGAAGACCAGATGAAGAAGGTCACGCAGGAAGATGCTCGCCAGGACATGAGTCCGGCTGAGAAGTGGAGGTGCCAGCACCAAGACCGCCAGATGCATCATCCAACGACCCCTGCAAAAGATGCGCAGGCAAAGAGTGGTCTTGGGAGCAGGCTGAAGATGACGCTACGGAGAATGACGACCAAGGATGCGAGTGGAATGGAGAAGATTAGGGAGGACGGAGCGCCAGTGCAGTTCAACGACCGTCAATCGACTGCTTCTGACAAGGAGGAGAAAGAGCAACACGTACCAGAAACGAGGGGCGAGCCAGACAATGAGAGCATCAACGACTCTGATGTCGATGAGCTTGTCCGATGGGTTAGCACGCGCGATTCGTCTAGCCACCACGGAGCGCGGAAAGAAGACACTGCAAACGACGCCAAGGAAGACAGTGGCCATGAGAGTCTTGGGCCGTCTGATGTCGATGAACTCGTTCACTACGCAAGGAGAAAGTCGGACGCCATTGCAGCCCGGAGAGCCAGCGACCAACACTCGGGATATGGCGACGCCTCTACTGAATCGGATAACGAGGTATCATCTGGAAATGAAGAGGACGCCGACGACCTTGTACGCTGGATATCGCATCGCGACGGACAGCAAGCTGGCCCCCAACAACGACACCTGCGGACATCCTGGCTCGACTCGGACGTAGAAGAACACTACGATACAGACGTTCCAGAACTAGGCCGGTGGTTTACGCGTTACGACGGCACGAGCGGTGAATCTCGCGCCACATCGCCCGTCCAATCTACATTTGACGAGCAAATCCAAGACGAAGAGGAAAACAGAGGCCGTCCACGAAGCCGCGACTTGCCCGAGCCAGGCATCAAGGAAAAGACGCATCTCACCCACGACGACATTGAGGACCTCGTTCGCTGGGTAAGCCGCAAAGACGTCAAACTGAACGGCAGTTCTACTCCAGAACTGCAAGACAGCGCCGAGACTCTGGATATCTCTGACGAAGACGAAAAGAAAGAAGCAGTCGGCATGACGCTGGACCAAGGCAGCCTCTCCCACAGCGACGTGCAAGAGCTGCTCGAGCATATACAGGGGAGAAGCAGATCCGCAACCGAAAACGAAACAGGCGACCTCAACAACCACACTCTACACCGCGCTAAACTCACCACCACACCCCGCAACCCGCAGCAAGAACTAGCCCAGAAACGAGACGACCTCAGAAAGCGCGAGAAGGAACTCGATATCAACATGCAAGACTCCAGTCTAAGCAACGCCGATATCGAAGACCTTGTTGCGCATCTGAGGAGTTGAGATGTCACTCTGCCAATCTAGTCTGTGGAAAGACATACAGACAGAGAGAGTGAGAAGCAAGCAGACAGACAGATAGGTAGGTAGGTACGTACGTACGTACGTACGTAGTCAGCCCCCTCATCCGGACTCGGAGTAAAAATAACTCCGATCACCACATTCACATCCACATCCTTTCTCTTTTTTATCTTTTTTTTTAGTGGGGCGCTAGGCGCGGAAGATGCAAGATGCAAGATGCATCCTCATCCTATATCCTACATGCATCTTACATATATCCTGCATCCGGCATCCATATGCATCTACATACATACATACATACATACACATATGTACATGGCAGGGGCGTTAGTCGTACTAGGGCGTGGTATATGCGCATACATGTAATTACCCCCCGTCTTGAGCGTTCAGTCACCGAAAGTATAGTACTTACTGAGCTGTAACTCATGAATGCATGCACGCACGCGCGCGTCGTGGGACTTGAGGTATCGCTATGTATCACTTTTGTTTGAGGGCGGGGAAAAGCAGAGGAAGGAGGGAAGGAAGGAAGGAGGGAAGGAAGGAAGGAGGGAAGGAAGGAAGGGAGGAAGGAAGGGGGGTTGCTTGTGGATTATTCTGGTATTTAATGGTAATGCTAATGGTAATGCTAATATTAATACTAATACTCATACTGTTTTCTTGGTCTCCCTTTTGCCGTACCTTGCTATACCTTGCTATACCTTGCTATGCTCTGGTGTGGTAAGGTGTGGTAAGATGTGTTGGTCAAGCAAACTTCCCTTCTGCTTCTTCTTCTTCTTCTTATTTTTCTTCGTCTTATTTTTCTTCTTCTTCTTCTTCTTCTTCTTCTTCTTCTTTTTCTTCTTGATTTCTTTCTTTCTCTATTTGCTCTCTCTTCTCGCTGTTGCTGTTTCTGCGTCTGAGAAATCCAGTCATTTAGTTAGTTAGTTAGGTAAGTAGTGAGTTTGCATCCAAGTACTTACAACTAGCACTTTAATGTACTGTAGATTTTTTCTTTTTACTCTTTCTCCGTTTTTTTTTTCCCGCTTTTTGCTTATGCGACGTTGGATGCTTGATGACAGTAGCAGTCGTAGCAGTAGTAATAGGAGTAAGTACCTAGCAACAGAAAGCAACAACATCAAGTGTATCATTCGTATATTTGTTCGGCATATGTGAAGCATCTAAATCACGTCTCTCTCTCTCTCTCTCTCTCTCTTTAATTGTTTGTAAATCACTGTCTCGCTGTATTCTCTCCAATGATATCCATACATGTACGTGAAAACAGCGTCAGAAAGGGGAAAAAAATATAACAACATGAATTGTGATACTCGTTGCCCGGATAAACAGCGATAATTGCAAACATGAAAGACAGCAGCATCACCCGTTTAAACACCTAGAAATGCATTTGGCCAACCCGACGACGAGCGAAGGAAAAAAAAACATCATAAAAAAAGGGGGTACAAAAGTGTGATCAGAGAAGAAGAATAAGAATAAGATAAGAAGCCGAGAAACAAGAAGTAAAAAAACCGCTCAATCCAACTTTAGCGCCTCAACACCTTCAAACTGCAGCCTCTTAAACATATTCTTGACAACATTGCACTTCCTAAATCGCTCTTCATCACGGCCCCTCATTTCCGTGCGCATCTTGCCAAGCGCATCCTTGCTATCACCGCGGTGATGTCCCTCCTTGATATTCGTGAAGAACATGCGTCTACCCGAGTCATCCAGGGGCTCCCACTTGGCGATTTTAACATCTTTCCGAGGAATAGCCTGGTGCTCACGGTTGGGATCGAGGAACTTGATAAAGGAGATGAAGTAATCCGAGATTTCGTTTTGGCGCCGCACCATGACCTGGCCGACGGTGCCGGCGTGCTTGGTGCCGTAGCCGTTTTCAATGTCGACGCCCCACATGACGTCCCACTGGTACTGATACGTGGGCACGGCGGGCGGGTTGAAGCGCGACATGGCGTTGGAGGCGAGATACGTGGGGCAGATGTAGCGGATGTCGCCTTGGGCTTTGGCGACGGCGTCCCACCATTTGCCGCTGTCGGGCCAGTGGCGGTCGTTGGGGTACGTGTTTTTCAGTGTTTCGAGGTCGTCGTCTGTGAGCAGCGGGTAGTGGTCTTTGAGGTAGGATTTGAATTCGCCTTCGTTGTCTGTCGCTTTCTTGACTTGGTCGGAGCCTTCGTTCGAGGTAAAGCCAATGATGGTTGGGACCTTGGCGTAGCGGTTCGACAGGATGGCCGCGGGGGCGGGCTCAGTAAACATGCCGCCTGCAGGCTCAGTCGTCGGAGCCCACATCCACCGCGGTGGAGTGTTGCGGCCGGGGAAGGACATGGGATAGTTCTCGTAGTATAGATCGCCAGTCTCCGCATTGCGGACGCAGGCGATATCCGTGCAGTTCAGACCGTCTGCAACTTCGTTCCAAAACTTCTCAGCTTGATCTGGAGTGAAGAATGTTGGACTCGCCGGAGACTGGGCGATGGCTCCGTGGAAAAGCGGCTTGCGGCCGGTACCAGGGACGTTGTAGTAGTTGTCACCGCCGTTGGCAGTCAGCTGAAGCATGACTGAGGCGCCGCCCGCACTTGTGCCCATGATGACCACGTGGTCGGGGTTGCCGCCAAAGTAGCGAATGTACTTCTGTACCCATTCCAGTGTTGCTCGCTGGTCGCGCAGGGCATTGTTATAGTCGCCATCCTTTGCAATCTCTTTGCCAGAAAGAAAGCCGTATATGCCGTTGCGGTAGTACATGGTGACTACCACAATTCCCTTGTCCAGCTTGCCGTCTACGCCTTTTTCACGACGCGCTTTCTCGACCATCTCGCCTCCATTGCTGCGCCCAGGGAGGTGGAAGCCGCCACCTGGGATGTTGACCAAGACTGGCAGATCGTCGCCCGGCTCAGCATCGATTGGCGTGAAGACATTGAGACTCAGACAGTCCTCTGTAGACCGCGTCTTGATGCCCAGGACGTCGGGTCCAGAGATGTCCTTTCTGTTTCTCTCGGCAGGGTTGATCTTCTGTATCCTTGGACACATGCCCAACGAGCCATCCCAGACCAAAGGCTTCTCTCCCAGACCAATGCCATATGTCCTATTCACAGGCTGCGGTCCGCGAAATCGGTTCTTGCCACCAGCGTCTGCAGCATAGGGGATGTTCCAGTAGGAACGGACCTTGTCTGTGACGTTGGGCTTGATGGCGAGGTAGTCCAGCTCGACAATAAATGGGTCGTCGGCGTTCTTCAGCGGGACAGAGAATGCGGGCTCGGGCTTGGACGTGAGCGGGGGTATCCATTCGGTGCTGGGTCGCAGGTCGGGCGAGTAGAGGAAAGCGAATGTAAAGGCGAGGACGACGACGGCGGCGAGACCCAGGATGATGCGCCGGTCAAAGATGAGGCTAGAGTTGAGAGGACGTACTGCCATGCTAGGCAAACGATGGGGGGTACAAAAGAGCGTCGTGTATGTGGGATGCTGCGAGGCGGCGAAAGACTGTATTATGGCACGCCTTTAGAAGTCGGCATTGGGCGCCTGGACAAGACTCTCAGGGACTGGTCGATGTCGTCGCATTCTTGTTTCTAGATCCCCGGCCGCTGGCCAGGCGGGACGACCGAAGAGGCTAAGGGGGCGGCAATCGGCACCGCGCGCTTGGCGCTGACGCGTATCGCATTTGTTGAAATGCCATGGCCATGATACACCAACACGCCCAACCCCTTGCTTGCTTGGAGAGATAGATGAAGAGAGACGGGGAGTCGTGTCGAGGTAAGGCATGGGGAGACGCTTACCTAGCAGGTTTGTCGCACTAAGCTGGCCGTTGTCAGCACATTTCACCACCCACGAACCGCGCCATGTATCACCCGAAGCTTCTAGTCCAATTCGAGTTGAAAGAATCTTCAGTTGAAGATGCAATGCGCAACCATTCTCATATTGGTCTTGTTCGAGCTTGTTCGTGCGCTTGCATCCTCACACGTCGCCCGATCACGTGACATATCGACTATCGTGGGCGAGCTACTGGCACTGGCTGCCAACCTCTTGTTGTCCGTCTACCTAATAAAACCTCAGATGGCTAATCTCCACGAAAACCCGCTCCTCTGGAAGAAATGGAATTTCCCAAGCGAAATCCTTTCGTTTTATTGGCACTTTTCACTCAGCAGCAGTACGAAAGCCTGATATTACATCTCGCCTCTTACTTGGACGTCGCAGCAGATCGAGTACTGTATCAACCACAATATCTCTTTCTCTCACTTCACTAGGGCATCGAAGGTTCTAGGCTTGCTCTCTCTCTCTCTCTCTCTCTTACCTGAAGGCACTACGGACGCTAAAACTGGTTTTATCGCCGGTCATTTCTTCTTCTCCTCGCTCTCATACCTTCTTCTTCTTCTTCTTCTTTCCATCTCTCATACCTTCTACATCTCTCACATCTTCTTCCTTACACTTCCCATACATTCTTTACATCTTTCTCACACATTCTTCTCATCACTTCCACATATCCATTCTTCATCCAGTTCGGTAGTCATGGCAAGAAAGGCATCCTCCAAGGCACCCTCCAAGGCACCCACCAAGGCGCACGCCAGGAAAACCACTGATACGCATATCAAGCCAACCATCGAGGCGCACACCAAGACACCCACCGATGCACACACCGATACGCACACTGAGACAACCACCGATGCGCAAACCAAGATACCTACTGATGTGCGCACCGAGTCACCCATCATGGAGAACGGTTTGCTGCAAGACATCCCAGAGTGTCCAAATAGTCCTCTGTTTGAACCTGAGGGCTCAAATCTTTCAACCAACCCTCAGCCTACCGATGTTATGAGCCCTGGCATGACTAGACTTCGAGCTATTGAGACGAACGCAAAAGCGGCAAGTCACCGCTGGACAGCCACTGCTGCAGACTTGCTCATACCAGCAAAGCGCACAGGTATATAAGTATCAATATATTAATTGACTGATGACTAATATTGCCAGCTGATAACGCGTTCGACAGCGGAGACGATAGTGATGATGAAGTACCGCCGTTCGACCCAAGCCAACAGCGGCGTCCGAAGCTACCTATGTACCACCCTGCTTTCCAGCAATCAGAAAAAGACATTCAAAGCATTTTACAAGTCTTTACAGACTTTTTACAGGCTAGCATAGATAATGATAGCGGTCAAGGTGAAGAAGCAAAATACCTCTGCAATCAAATCAACAAGGACCGCCGTATCCGCTATCAGACTGAGATCCGCCTTGCAATTACAGGCGACACAGGATCTGGAAAATCTGCAACTACGAACGCCTTGTTAGGCGAAAAGCTAACACCTGAGGGCGACAGTGGGAGTGCTTGCACTAATGTCGTTACTGAGTTTCGTCAGAAGAAGCTATCCACAACTTCAGGCGCAGTGTATGCGGAAGTTCAGTTCTACTGCCTAGAACACTGCACCGAGGCTCTTGTCGCCAGCTGGTTCAAAGAATGGCGTAATATCACTCAGCAAATGATTGACGACGAGACTTCGGTGGATGATGACGATCGAGCCCGCAGGGATGCTGCACTTGAGTGCTTGGAGCAGCTTTTTGCGAACCGCGTCGAGTCACTCGAGGCCTTCATGCTGACAGGCAACGTTAAGAAAGAAGGGGCCACAAGGATAGAGAGTGCTACCATACTCAAGCAACTGTTGAAATGGACAGTCGAGATACACGAGCAGTTCGTCTCCGAAGGCGAACTCTTTGTTCCCCTCACGTCTAGCACTCACAGCGATATGCGCGACCAGCTCCGTCCCTTCAGGATGCGAGCTGAGAACTCGCGCTTCAATGGAAAGTCTCTCCCTTTCAGTCCATGGCCGTTTGTAGAAATTATTCGGTAAGTTCAGTCCCCACAATGATGGTTTCAGCGCGAAACCCACTTACAAAAATTACAGATACTACGTCAATAGCCCTTTACTACAAGACGACATTTGCTTAGCCGATGTGCCGGGTACCAAGGATATCAACATGTATCGCGTTGCGGCTGCTGAAGCCTATTTACAGCAGTGTGAGATGACTATAGTAGTCGTCGACATCAAGCGTGCCACGAGCGATCAATCTTTTCGGCAGCACTACCTCGATGCACACAGTAGGCGGTACCATGGCAGTGTTATCCTCGTAGCCACGAGATCAGATGTTAGCATTCTATAGCAATCGGATTACTCATTTGCTGACCAGTTTACAGGATATGAACAACGATGACGGCAGTACACTTCAGCTCGACGGCACAGCAGAAGAGCAGCTTGTTCCCATCGACGAAGAGCTAACCAAGCAGGACGAGAAGTTGCGAGCCATCGAGAGCCAAGTGACTGCCAACAAGATTGAGATCAAATGTCTCAAATCCAAAAGTGATCAAGACATGGCCGTTGATGATGACCGATCCAAGTATGAGGCTTTGCGCACCGAGAACAAAGCTTTGAATGCAGAGAAAAAAGACACAGTGTCGCGCATTACCTCCTTGGATAAGGAACGCACAAAAATCTACATTAAATGCCGTAACAGGATTGTCACCAAGGGCATGAATCGAATGTACATCCAGGGTACACGTGACGATGCAGGTGCAGCATCCTTTTGTGTCTCTAATCGCATGTACATGCGACACCGACAAGGCTACAACATACGAAATCCAGACAAGACTCCTACTATGGATATAGAGGATACCCAAATCCCTGCATTATTTAAGCATATTTCTGGATTACCTTCACAGGGAAGGATCGCCGTTCTAGAACATTTTATTATGTTCAAAGTTCCAATGTTGCTGAGCATCTTTCAAATGAGCTGCAGCAAGAGTACTAAGGCTCGTGTGGAGCATGTGACGGCAATTCTGGACAATACCACCAAGGTATGTTATTGCTTGCTGTACCCAGGGATTGAAGAGGTATTGCTAACTATCCGCAGAGTTTGGAGGCTAGGATTGAAGATATGGCAATAAAGTTCCGCGACACATTCCTGCAAGATCTCGTCAACGAGCTGTCAAGCCGTAATCTGATGAACAAGTTTCACCGCAACGCCATAAGGCAGTTGGAAGAGTTGCAGAACATGGTAAGTGAGCTTTAGATCCTATCAGGTGGCGTGTCACTAAATGATTTTTTTTTCTTGCAGAAAGGCGCCTCCTACAATGCCCTCATCAAGAAGATGGGCAAATACCACCAGAAGAAGCTCGGCATCCACCATGATCTAAATGCTGAGCTCATGAAGCCTTTGACCTGCGCTATCGACAACGCCTTTCATGCTGTAATCGACAACGCACCCAACGCTTTCAAAGCTCTTGCTACGCAGACGATCAAATCAGGCTTTCATGAATTGAATAAGATTTTAAGAGGTATTTCTTCAACACTGTCTTCAACACTGTTTCTTGATAGGCGCTCTACTCTAACACCTTGTAGATGATCCGCAAGCCTTGGCTGGGGAGGCATACCAAATCTGCTTTGGCAACAAGCTCGCCAGTTATGAGAAAGACATCTCTTTCAGAGTCGACGCTGCCTATAAGGAGCTCCGCCTGGGGCTTATTGAGACGCACCAACGAGCTAGAGGCTCCGACCAAGAGACCTATATCTACGACGCTATGCAGCAGATCTATATTGATGCTGAGGCAGAGAGACCCGTAAAACGTCAGACCCTTAAGGAAACCCGCCATACATATCTTCAGCGACATGTTCCTGATTATAATGGCCCCTTTGCAGCTATTGCTGAATGGACCGAAGAAGACGTTAGTAAGACTATTAATGAAACCTGCGACAAGCTCTGTAAAGACATCGTCGCTATTCTTAATAATATTCGCTCTGCTTTTGAGCGACAGAAGACTGAAGAGAATAATAACACACTAGAGGGCCAGCGCTTCCGCAAGGAGCTACATGAGCTGGTTTCTGAAGCGTCGAGAATTCTGAATGGGGTCATTAAAGAGAATTTAGAGAGATGCAGGGAGTTCAAGTTAGGCATTGGGGGTTGGGAATAAGTCTTCCGCCGCGCTGGTCGCCGACTAGTACTTGGCGCCAACAAAACAGTATCTGGACTGCAGCGCTGAATTGATGAATGACTAAGGCTGCTTCGAGCCAAGGACAGTGCTAGATTTTCCAAGTCAATACTTGTATTTTGGACATAGATCTGGCCCGTTTCCATAGCACCATTGCAATTTAAGGTTCTGATGGTGTTGTTGTGAAGCGGGATCTTCGGAGATAGTGCCGGGCACGGGAGTCAGACTAAGCACGGCATCCGGTGGCGCAAGGACTACCTAGTAATAAGCTCGCGGGGTTGGTGAATCGGTCCTTATTCCATCTCATGGTAACCATGGCCGTTCCTGTCCAGGATGATTGGAAGATTCTCGCACTGATGCTGCCAGACTTACAATTGACAGTGGAGTGCTCAAGAGAGGAGCCAAAAAAAGGCCATGAGACAGCGTCTGGACTGGCGCAAGAGAAAGAACATTACACACGGCGCCTAGATCCGAAACTAAAAGGCTCCGGTATGAGGCCTTTTCCTGCAAGCTTGGGCCATTCAACCATAGGGGTAGCGGCATGCCATGCATACCCGGAGCCGCGAAGACCGTGTTCCGATACAGGATTTCTTGCGTTGCAGTAGAGGTGACTCGAGTGGCACGTGGAATGCTACCTTTGGCGGACCAAGGTTTGGGCCACTGGTGCATAGTTCGGTTTTGTCTAGCAGGTCTGCGCCGAGAAGCCGTGGAAGAGGTTTCATCGGGACAGCCTCAAACAAAGACATTGAGTTCAACGACGATGTCATGTCGGCGGTCACGATGACGTTGCTTTTGGAAGGCCGTCTCGTCAGTGCGTAGCGGAGGATGGCGGAGTGGCAGTGGCCGTGGTGGAGTGTGTGGAGCTGATTACGACATGTGAACGTTGTGGCAGGCCAATCCACTCGTTTACGCTAGTCACGCCGACGGTGGATGTGGATGCTCGGTAGAGGCGCATACGGGGACGGGAGAGCAAAGAAGTAAACAGGCGACACCAAGGCCCGCGAGGTCAACAAGGTCAACAGAGAAATGGCATTGCCGTAGTGCCGTCTGTTCATGGCATGTGACTCGGACCCCCGCATCGCGCTAAGACGGTTAGCGCGCGAAGGGTGGGGACTCCGTGCACGCGAGCCTTACGTCTGATCTGACTCCCATCCTCCGACGTCACGAAGACACCTCACAGTCTTGGTGTCTTTGATCAGAGCCCTCGCGACACACACCTGCGGTGCCTTTCGCCCTGTTCCGGCACGCTGAGATTGGGTTTGAGGCTGTGAGCCTCCGCCGCGCCAACCATGTCGATCACTTCCAGGACCCGACGCTCCCCTGTGACAAGGACCAGGACGCTCCCCTGTGACGGCGCCGTTGATTGGAAGCAGCCTGGTGTGCTGGCGACGGCAAGCGTGGCGATACATGCCTGGACCGGTAAGGCTCCATCTGAGCACGCAGTACCCCCGGATTTCCACAAGCGGCGCCGCCTCGTCATTGGACGTGGCCTTGGCTACTTGCAAGCCCCATCCCATCCTGGCGAGATATGAGGATCCAAACAACGATGTCTGTTTCGTTTCATGTACGCGCCGGCACACAACGGGAGGCATACGTATTGGTTTTCTGCATATCCTGGCTCCGTGGTGCTGCAGGTACGCTTCCCAGCCCGGTTTTGTTGCCTCGCAACTGTTCGTCTCTACATGGGTGGAGAAAAAACGTCCCTGCTCCTCTGCCATTCCGTCACTATGCGGTCTAGTAGGAATTCCTTTGCCCAGAAAAGCATCAGCTGCCTGCCTTGGTTGCAGCAGTAAGACAGTATGGTGTGGGTCAAGCGGGAGGCCATGGTGACTCTCAGACATACCCCTGTCACTATTATCATTTCCCACTCACTTGCACTTGCTCGTTGAATGGTTGTACGCTGTTGACAGCAGGCCCACTTCTCCATATATATTTCCAGCCCAAATGGCTTCCTAAAATTTCCTCTCCTCCTTTTCCACAGACGGCTGTCAGCCTCTTGGTGAGTATTACTAGAGCCAAAGATGTTGAGACACTTGCTGCTCGGGCTCACCGCCTGCTCGAGCCTAACCATTGCGGCGCCTCTATTGCACGAAGCCACTGATCTCTCCACTACCCTCACTCGCCGCGCCACGGTTGATAGCTGTCCTGGCTATACCGCCTCTAATGTTGTTAAGAGCGATTCTGGTTTGACTGCCGACCTCACACTCTCCGGCGACGCCTGCAATGCGTACAGCGACGACATTAAGGACTTGAAATTGCTTGTCGAGTACCAGACCAGTAAGTCTGCGATTGTGCTCTTACTTTGACGTATCATGAGTATTAATCATCACTAGACGATCGCCTGCACGTCAAAATTTATGATGCCGACCTCCAGGTTTACCAGGTTCAAGAAGAAGTCTTCCCCCGGCCAAAGAATGAGGAGGCATCAGCGGGCAATGCCGCCCTGCAATTCGATATCCAGCAAAACCAGTTTTCGTTTACAGTCAAGCGCAGGGAAAACGGCGAGGTTCTCTTCGATACTGCAACTGTCCCCCTGGTGTTCGAAAAGCAGTATGTGCGCCTCCGGACGAAGCTTCCCGACAACCCCAACATCTACGGATTGGGCGAGCACAGTGACTCGTTCCGCTTCCATACCCAGGACTACGAACGCGTGCTCTTGAACACCGAGTCGATTAATATCCCAAACAACGCCAACCTGTACGGTTCCCACCCAGTCTACTTTGACCACCGCGGTGCCAAGGGTACGCATGGTGTTTTCATGCTCAACTCTAGCCCGATGCAAGTGAATCTTGTAAAGCCGTCCAACAGTTCCCAGTATCTCGAGTATAACCTCATTGGTGGAGTCATTGATCTGTACTTCATGGCTGGCAGCAAGCCGGCCGATGTCTCTACACAGTATGCTGATATCGCCGGTTACTCTGCCATGTACCCATACTGGACCTTTGGTTTCCACCAGTGCAAGTACGGCTACTTTGACGTCAACATGGTTGCTGAAGTTGTCGCCAACTACTCGACTGCTGGCATCCCGCTCGAAGTCATGTGGACGGATATCGATTACATGAATCTCCGCGAGGATTTTACGACCGACCCAGAGCGCTTCCCACTCTCAAAGATGCGTGAGCTGGTATCAACCCTTCACTCTCGCGATCAGCGTTACGTCTTGATTCTGGACCCTGGTGTTCATGCGGTCGGCAATTATACGCCCTACGAAAAAGGACACGAAATGGAAGTCTTTCTCAAGGGTGCTGATGGCTCTGACATTCTTGGAGTCCAGTGGCCTGGAGCGGTTGCATGGCCTGATTGGTTCGCGCCCAACACTGGCAAGTGGTGGACAGATGAGATCCAGCAGCAGTTCAATGCCGACACTGGCATTGACCTCGATGGACTTTGGGTCGACATGAACGAGGCCTCCAACTTTTGCCAGGACCCTCAGACTTGTAACGCACGCCAAAAGGCCATTGATGATGGCATCCCGCCCAAGCCCGCACACCCACCGCGCCCAAACACTGGGCGTCCTATTCCCGGCTTCCCTGCAGACTTCCAGCCTTCATCTGGCAGTGGCTCAGCCAAGGCACGTGACGTAAAGTCTGTTTCTGCCCGCCAGTCCTCTGGCGGCAACATGAAGGGTTTGCCCGATCGCAACTGGTTTAAACCCGCCTACCACGTCAACAGCCATCTTGGCGACGTCTCGCAACAAACCATTCCCATGAACACAACAAACTACGATGGCTCCTGGCAGTACGACACGCACAACCTGTACGGCAGCATGATGGCCTCTGCGACCCGCGACTCGATGCTGGCCCGTCGCCCCAAGCTCCGCCCGTTTGTGCTCACCCGCTCCACCTTTGCAGGAATCGGTCGCAAGGCTGCACATTGGTTCGGCGACAATTCGTCCATCTGGGAACACTACCGGACGTCGATTCGACAGATGCTTTCCTTTGTGTCCATGCACCAGATGCCCATGGTCGGGTCCGATGTGTGTGGCTTCAACGGCAACGCCGACAAGTACATGTGCGCGCGCTGGGCCGTTCTAGGCGCCTTCCAGCCCTTCTACCGCAACCACGCCGAAATCAGCACCATCCAGCAGGAATTCTACCAGTGGCCCATTGTTGCCGAGGCAGCTAAAAAGGCCATTGAAGTCCGCTACAAGCTGCTCGACTACATCTACACGGCGCTGCACTACCAGACGCAAAAGGGCACGCCCATGATCAACCCGCTCTTCTTCCTCTACCCAGAAGATGAGAAGACATTTGGCATCCAGGAGCAATGGTTCTACGGCGACGCGCTCCTCGTCTCGCCTGTCGTTGTAGACTACTCGGACACAGTCACCTTCTACATGCCCAACGACGTCTTCTACGACTACTGGACGTACGCGCGCGTCGACGGCCAGGGCCAAAACGTCACTGTCAGTAACCTGACGTACAGCGAGATCCCCGTGCATATCCGTGGTGGCACAATCATCCCGCACCGCGTCAACAGCGCAAACACGACAAAGGCGCTGCGCAACGAGGACTTTTTCCTGCTCGTCGCCCCTGACGCCGACGGCAAGGCTACTGGCCGCTTGTACCTCGACGACGGCGAGAGCCTCGACCAGCCCAAAACTAGCGAAATCGCCTTTTCATACGAGGGAGGCAAGTTCAGCGCTACGGGCTCCTTTGGATACGCCGCCTCGGGCAGCGAGAGCATCACCGTGGCAAATGTTGTGGTGCTGGGCCAAACCAAGGCTGGTGCCACTGGCTCGTTTGACTCGGACAAGCAGACAGTCGATGTCAAGGGCCCGTGGAAACTCGACGGCGAATTTGCATTTTCACTGTGACTCTCAAAGGGCTTTGAGGGCGGGGCCGTGGCTGCAGAGCATGGTGGTAGTGGTGGTGGTGGTGCTACGCCCATGTCGGATGCAGCGGGGCGGGGCGTTGGGGCGCAGTGGTGGTGGCATTGCTTCATTATCGCAGTGACGATGTTAATGACTGGCATGTAGAACGGCGTTTTTCTTATATGTTCTTTGTTTTGTTCCTCCTAAGGACAAGCATGTAGGTTTCTTGGTTGCAAACGAGGCATTTAGTAGCGATTTACTCGTGCTAATGAGATACCATTTGGCGGCGCTTGTGCTGCGTAGCATTTGTCCTGATCAAAACTCGCTGCAGTGTTTTCCGATGTGAGGAAGTATTTTCAGGCACCTGGCTGTGGACATCTTATCGTAGGTAACCAATGTCCCTGGCTGCAGTGCTCGACTGGCCTGCTTCTCAACAGTACGACCCACATGCAAAGACGGTCTGCGCTGTCAAGGTAAAAACGCACACTGCTAACAACGATACGTACCGTCCAAGTTTCCATTACCGATGTCGTGCAGATTAGCTATGGTCACAGCGCAAAGCGAGACACGGCGGCTGGGGTCTGAGATCATTCGTGCGGGGTAGTGGAGTGTTGACTCTGGTGAGACCAGGCTCTGACAAGTCACGTTGGTGTCGCGTCACACGGGCCTGTCAACCACGAGCTCAGGCAGCACACAGGCAGCAAGTATACCGATGAGGCGCTTGCTGTGAATGCTTGGTGTGCAGAGAATTGGCCGTCGCGTGCTGTGGAAACCGACTTGTGTGTCTGTCTCGTGACTGCATGGCAAGGGTATTGGATCGGCAGCTCCAGCAACGGCGGGTGCGGTGGTCATGAGGTTGTGCATACTTTGTCGGCTTCTGCAATGGTGGGATTTCCGTAGGAACGGTATCCAAGGACTCACTCTCCCCCGATGGTTGTTGCCTCGAGTTCGTCGCGCACACTGTTCAGACTGACGTCTTGCACCTCGTACCCAACCTCAATCTTGTTCTTTGGACGTGCTTTGTTGAGTCCCTCGAGCAGAACACAGGCCTTGCATATTTCTTGGCTGGAGAGATATCCACATCTCTTGCACTGGCCCATGACTTGCTTGCTCGTCTTTTTCGGTGCGACGCCCTTTTTCGCCTTCTTGCCGTGGACAAGTGGTACAGCGTTGCTATTTTGGTTATCTTGTTGCTTTCCGCTGCGGTTGAGGCTTTTTGTGGTGATTTCGGTTTCCAGGCTAGCATCGACAGCGGCTTCATTTTGCCTCAGTTGCGCCTCGACACTTGCCATTTCGCCGCCACCGGTGCGTCCCTGAGCGCTCCCACACCCACCCTCTTCTTCTTCGCCAGCAGGAACACTGCTCGAGCATGCGCCTCCGCAACCCTCGTCGCTGCCTGGCACCAACTTGGCCATGTCTTCTCCGCTTCTCACAACGTCTAGGATTGCGCTTGGGCGCACACGCTCTAGGTTTTTTATTAAAGCGCGCGCACTGCCTCGAAAGGCTTCGGGAGAGTAGATGCATTCCGTGCTGAAGTAGTCGAGATTCTTGTGGTGGGCATAAAGGACAATCTCCTTTTCGTATGCGTACTTGAGAGGCTTGCTGCGCTTGATGTTCGTGTTTGCGGCAGGGTCAGACGACGCTGAAGGCGTGGATGTGACAATAGATGTGGTGCGCGACAGACGCGGAAGATCGCCTCGCAGTACTACTCTTGTCAGCATCTTGTGCAGCGCGGTGCGAAGAGGAGAATACTAACAGTTCATCAGCACCGTCTCAGCCACGTCGTCGGCGTTGTGTCCCGTGACAACGTGCTTGACACCGAGTCTTGATGCGCCGCGGTCGAGGGCTTGCCGCCTGAAGACGCCACAGTAGGTGCAGTTTCCCTTCTTCCCCACCTGCTCGACCACCTGGTCCATTGTCCAGCCATACAGCTCTGCATAGCCGAGGATTGTCAAGGGCATGTCGTACTGATGGGCATTCCGCTTGACCGTCTCCAGACTGTCGTCGCGGTAGCCCTTGATGCCCTCGTCAATGGACAGGAGCATCAGGTCGAGGCCATAGTCGTAGCGCTCGTTGAGCGTCTTGAGCACCGAGGCCAGGACAGTGCTGTCTTTTCCGCCCGAAGCGCCAATGGCGACTTTTTCGCCGCGGTGGAACAGGGCATTGGTCGTGATGGTGTGGTGGATTTCGGTCTCAAAGACGGTGATGAAGCACGCCTTGCATAGCCGCGAATGGTCCTTGGGGCGGAGGATGAGGGCGCGGTTGACCTTGCACAAGACACAGGGCGAGGGAGGCATAATTTGGCGCTGTGTGGCGTTGACTGTGTGAAGGAGAGAGAGGCTGCGGGGCTCGAAGAGACGGGCATGGCGCACGAGTCATGCACAAGTACGTGCATATGCACATGTGCATGGCGGGGCAGAGCCTCCCCCTCGGCCGCCGCTGCCATGACGATTGCAACCCACGCTTTTACTTTCACTTTCGTCTCTTCCACTCTTTTCCCACACCTTGCTCGCCTTTCCCGCCTTTGCCTTTCCCACGCCCTGCCCGACGCGTAACCCGCCGCCCGCCGCCTGCAGCCCGCCGCTGCAACTGTGGCGCCCATTTTCCCCTTCAACTATGGTTGGCTCGTCGGCCACCTGCGCAATATGCAGTCGTCAGCGTCTCGGAGCCATCTCCTGCATCGTCTCATTGATCGTCTCGCACCGTTGGATGGCCACGGCGCGAACTGAAAGTCGATGCTAGCTCGACTACCGGGTTAATTCTTCGTATGACGGCTGCTCGCCGAGGTCGCCACAGGGGCTCTTTTGGCGCCTGTAACCTCAGCACCTACCCTTTGACAGCCGTCCCGGGTATGGCGCAATCTGGCTGGTCGATCACTGTCAATTTTTTGGTAGCTCTCTTCGCCGGCCTGCTTGCTTGGCAAACGAGCCGGATGCTGCAAGTTTCTGAGGCTGCCAACCTTGGTTGCGCAGTCCAAGACTCTTTTGCTCGACCCTGAGTTGCCACTGACTAGCCTGCAGCAGCTATGCTCCAGTGCCAGTGCCTCTCCGTTTTCTCATCCCGCCTAACTTGACCAATCTGGCACGCACCCGCCTCATCCGTATTATACAGCACTCATTGGGACGGCCTAAACGGTGACTTACCGCTCAAGGGAATAAACTGCATGGTCCCTTTTAAAGTTTCCAGCCCAGACCCTTGCCGACGTCACGAGAATCCCCAAAGTCAGTTGTGATTGTCTGCACATCACTTGCTCAACCTCACTATCGAAACTACCTCCCTATACCCGATTCTGCCGAGACTTTCCTTTTTGAATCATGCAAACATCCAGATTGCGCGAGGCGCTGCTGCCAGATATTCCCGCGCCTGGCGGATGGGACGTGACTGGGATCTTTAGCAGGCAGAATATGCGTCGTAATTTTAGTTCTCGATCCCCCAGATGGCCAGTCACAGTCGCCGGCATGTTAATCATGTAGTCTGATCCATATAGGCGGATAGCAATGGTAATCGCTGTCAAGAAGCTTTGGTCCTCGATACCGGCTTGAGGTCGGCCAGCCCATAAGTTGCACCACGGCAGGACAGAGTGGTGGAGACATGTGATTGCCAAGTGAGCGTCTTTTACATGTTTCACAATTCGTCCAAATCCGCATTCATGCTAATACACTTATGTAGGTGGCTCATGTCTTTCTCGAAAGGGAAAAGCAAAGACGAGCTACACCTACACCGACCAAGGGTTCGCCTTGAAACCGTCAGGCACGAGGCCATGTCGACCAGCAAGAGGACCTGACTCCGGGGTACCGTACAATGAGATGATGATCGGCATCTTCCACGGGATCTTCAGGTGCCAGGCATCACACTAGCCATGTTGACCAAAGACGAGGCCGTTTTCGACTTTAGCAACCTGTCCAGATACACGCTAATAAGACACCGTCTGCTCATGAACGGCTCTTACCGCACTAGCAGATCGTACATCCTTGAGCTACTCCCGTTTCTAGGGCAGATGTTTGCAGATTCTGCCGATCCTCCCTTCTCACAGACCCCTGCACACGTGGGTTCGCCGATGACAGTGGCTGTTTACCATTTGCCTGGGGCGCAATGCCTCAGTATAAGGCAGCACATTACCCGCAATATTGGGCTCTTCAGTCTCGTTGACTGCGATACTCAAAACACTCCTTTGTATCCCCTTCTTACACAACACAATGGAGGCTCACATTGCTCTTGGCCAGATTGGATGGACCTATCTGAGCATCTTCATTATCTGGAATGTTATTTTCATCGCTGGTCTGGTCTTTCTCTGGATCAATCGCCAGCACCCCTCACTTCGCATTCGAAGACTGCCCTTGTTGTTTGCTGGTATCATTCCACTGCACACGTATGGCGCTCTTTGCACTCTGGGTAAGCAGGCTCTGCTCTTTTTTTTTTTACCAAAATGAATCATGGCTAACTTGACTTGCCCCCCCTCTCAGCATACGTAATTGGACCTATTGTCAGCTGTTCGATTGAGTTTTGGATGATGTCAGTCTTGGTCCCAGTGGGCATGGGTAAGTGCCGTCCGATCACTCAGCAGCTGCGGCACATACTGATTGGAAACCAGCCTTGTTCCATGCTTCCAACAGCCAGTTCCTGCATATCGCTAGCCGACAGAAGCAGTTTGCTCGCATGAGCTCACTTAAGGATCATGCGCCAGTGGATGAGAAGGCGGCTCACGAGGTTGCAAATAACCGCTGGAGAAGAATTGCGCAGGGACTCGAGCGGGCTGACAAGATTAAACGAACCCTCATCTTCATTGGCATCGGCATGGCTATCCAAGTAAGTACCCTATGGGGTAGTGCCGTCAAGCCTGTCTAACGTTGCAACCAGTTGGCACTTGTCATTTTCATTTTCTTTGCGTCAAGAAAGTTTCATCCCGGCTACGGCATCATCAATTACACGGTCCATGGCACTGGCATGGAAGTGCGATTCAAGTGCAGCAAAGGATGGGAGTGGTGGCTGTCGATTCTATGGCAGTTCTTCTGGTCGTGGATCTATGCACCCTGGATTCTTTTCAAATCTCGGGGTATTCGCGATGTCCACGGTTGGCGACTACAGACCATCTGCTGCTGTATCGTTGGGTTTGTTTGCCTCTGAATATTCACCAAGCAATTCGCTAACTTGTGCAGACTCCCAGCGTCGCCGCTCTGGCTTGCGGGTCTCTACAGCCCGCAATTCGCGCCGGTGAATGCCTACTTCCCTCCACCTGTCTGGTTTTCGCTCTGCTTTGTTCTGGTGGACATCTTCACCATTGGATTTAGCATTGCCGATGTACTAAGAGGAAACAAACTGCGCAAGGAGACTCTAGATGCCATTGCAGACTGGGAGGCGCGTCAAGCAACGGGTGGCATGGGCATGACAGTCAATGAAGACCTTGCCAAGAGCCCTAGCGCATTCTCTGCTGCAACCACGTTCAGGTCAGGCGGAGACTCTAGTAGCGGCAAGCAGTCGTTCGACTCGAGGTCGGATATCCTGACCATGACGGCTTTGGAGAATGCACTTAGGACCAACGCTATGCCCCTTCTTGAGTTTGCCGCGCTAAAGGATTTCTCTGGTATGTGCTCAGTCGAAACTTCCCACAGGGTCATGTCTAATAGTGTTGTACAGGCGAGAACGTTAGCTTCCTTACGCATGTGGCCGAGTGGCGACGCCAGTGGCTTTCACAAAAGTCGTCTACGGCTGAACACCGTCGTCAGCAGTTTATATCTGCTGCACGCATCTATGCGCATTTCATCTCGATGGACTTTTCCGAGTTCCCAATCAACATTTCGTCAAAGGAGATGAAACGGCTTCACACCATCTTCTCCAGCGCCGCGGCAGTTCTATACGGCCTTCGGCGGGGGTCATCGTCGAACGATAACGCCACGCCTTTCGATAGCGTGCTTCCAGACGACGCGTCAGATTTGCCCATCAACGACAAGAGCGCTAACGGATCCATCAAGGAGCTAAAGGGGACCATCAGCCTCGACAACCTCGGACGCGCCAATCTCAGGGCTGTGTCGCAGATGGACCCGGCCTTTGCCGGGGGGTCATTGGCTCACTTTGAGATTCCGATCGACTTCAACGAAATGGTGTTTGACTTTGCGGAGAAGGAGATCAAGTACCTCGTCCTGACCAACACGTGGCCCAAGTTTGTGCAGGTTGGACGAGCGAATAGCGAGTTGAGCAAACAGGACCCCGAGAAGGGCAGCCATGTTTGGATGCACAAGTTCTTGTGCTCATCATGATGATGATGATGATGTCTACGGATTATTTTTGTATAGTATAATTTATTAATTCATGACCTGCCACGAGGAGGCACATATTTTTCTTACAAAGACGATGGATTCTGCATATGAGTGTTGTATTGAGTGTCTTGATGGAAAACTGAGAGGGAGCGAGGGGGTGTTGTGAGATGTGGACATGGAGGATATTCGGCCAGGTTCAGGGCGGCGGACAAGTGCCGAAAGACCGATGGCCATGTTCACCATGACGTAGTGTATGATGAGCATTTTTGTATTGTACAAGACGCAAATATGATGGTTATGACTTGAGAGTCCGCTATTTCCGCAATGCACATACGTAGGTGGGTCTGGTAGTGCGAAGGACCGGGGCTGAGATTGGTGCGTCGAAGTGGCATGATGTCTTCCAAAATGGACATTACAAGCTTGCTATAAACGGCGGCAACGCCAGCGAAGCGTGGTCGCATACACCCAACTTCACACCATGCCTCTCCAATACAACAAAGTTCTCGTCATTGGCGCAACGTCGGGCATTGGCTGGGCACTCGCCGAAAGAATTGTACAAGATGGCAAACATGCCATTATTGTCGGGCGGCGACAAGACAAGCTGGACGAGTTCAAGAAGCAGCACGGCAGCGAGCGGGTCGACAGCGTTGCCTTTGACATTACCAAGCTCGACGAGATTCCCAAGTTTGTGCAGGAGGTGACGAGCAAGCACCCGGATCTCGACTGCGTCTTCCTCAACTCGGGCATCCAGCGCGGCTTCGACTTTTCCAAGCCCGAGACGGTGGACCTGGGGCTGCTGGAAATGGAGTTTCGCACAAACTACCTCTCGTACATGCACCTCACGACGGCCTTTATCCCGTTTCTGCAGAAGCAAGACAAGGAGACGTCGCTCGTGTACACGACGTCTGGGCTCGCGCTCATGCCGCTGCCACGGTGCCCCAACTACTGCGCGTCCAAAGCAGCGCTGCACCACATGATTCTCGTGCTGCGGCACCAGCTGGCCAAGGGACCGGGCCACATCAAGGTGATTGAGATTTTCCCGCCGGCGGTGCAGACGGAGCTGCACGATGCCAAGCACCAGCCGGACATCCAGGACGGCGGCAGCATTGGGATGCCGCTCGACGAGTTCACGGACGAGGCGTGGGCGGGGCTGGTGGCGGGCAAGGAGCAGATTCCGGTGGGCTTGTCGGCCAAGGCGTTTGATGCGTTTGAGAACAAGAGGCAGGACATGTTCAGACAGATATTTTTATCTTAGTGTTGGCTGGGCGCGCAGGCTGGACTGGGCTGGAGCCACCTATGTTTAGACACGTCACGTGAAGCGGCGGACGAGGCAGCACGGGGCGCTGGCTTGCGACGGTGGTGAGTGTCGAGTAATGTAGCCATGGATGGATCAAAGAAACAAGAAGCAGCGGCTCCATAGATGGACCACAACGCGTATATGGTTATGATTATGAGTATCACTACCATCGGGCAGCAAAACACTGTTACGCGTGGGCAGCACAGCCCCCCCAGGTGCGGCGCAGACATTCCGAGTAGTGTGCCGCTAGCCCGCTGCCGCAACCCGCCGTCCGTGTATTGACTTCACTCCACTCTCACGCCTCCCGCCCTTGCGCCTCGCTTTCTCCGTCTGCCACCACGCTCTTCTTTGCATCTTCTCTTTGTCCAGACGCAGCAACGGCCCTCGAAATCCACACGCCATGACGGACAGCTTCAAAAATGCCATGATCAACCGGTCGCTCGGCGACATCAAGAACGTGAGTCTACGCCACACCATACAGCGCCCTCGCGCCCTCGCTCCGCCAGATCATTCTTGTTAACCATGTGTCGCGCGCATACAGAACCTCCAATTCCTCGTCGAGTCCAACGTCATCACGTCGGCCCAGCACGATATCATCGCCGCCCAGCTGCCCGTGTCGGCCGAGAACCCTCTCTCCCCCCCCTAACCCAATATCTCCACATGCGCATACTCATCCTCATCCTCATTCGCATCATCCATGTTGACGCAGCAAATCTTACAAGAACAAGAACAAGCAAGTAGTAGTAGCAGTAATAATACTCCTAGTAGCGACTGTAAATTGCAGCCAGCCTCAGAATAGTGTTTCGCGTTTTCTTAAAAAATGGAGTTAACAATGTTACTTCCAATCGTAGCACCTGCAAAGCAACGTTAGCGATTTGAAAAAAAAAGATGTCATCTACAGTTTTGCAGCGGGGAGCCGTACCTGCACCGAAAATGGCGGCATTGCCGAGTTTCTTGCCAAACTTCTTGCCCTGCTGCTCGACCTTGCTGGGCTCGCCTGGTGTGGCGGGAGCGGGTTGCTGTTGCTGAGCGCCCGAGGCCACGTCGAGGGGCATGTTGCCGTAGTTGGAGGGGGCGGGCGCGGCGTTGTAGGCGGGGGCTACGGCTTTCTCTTCTTTGCGCACGTAGCTGGCAGGGAAGATGCCGTCCATGCCGGTGCGCTCGTTGCGGCCCTTCCACCACTCGTTGTTCATGTACTCGGTGACGGTGATCTTGTCGTTGGGCATGAGGGCGAGGTCGCCGGCGTCCTGGGCGTTGTACTGGTACATGGCCGAGGCGTGGCAGAGGACGGGGGGGCCGGCGGGGACCACAGGGGCAGAGGGGTAGGCGGGCGGCGGGGCATTGGCGGGGGCATCCGAGTAGTAGCCAATGTTGGAGCTGCGCTTCTCAGGTGGAGGCGTCGGCTGGCTGTTCTGCATGCTGAGCTGCGCCAGTTGCTGCGTGGGCACGGCGGCGGGCAGCTGGCGGGCGCTGAGGACACCGGCTGGGATGCCATCATCACAAGGAAAAGGTGAAGCGGGAAAATGCTGATTCTCGCGAAAAGAAGGAAAAGAAAGAAAGGGAAGAAAGAACAAGGTGGGTTTTGAGGAACATATTCTCCTCTTCCTCCTTGGTTCTTGGGAGGCGTTCAGTGGCGCCCCTTACTTCATGTTCATTATCATCATGACATGTCTGTGTGTGTTTTTTTCCATCTTCTAATCTATTTGGCTAAATCCTTTTTTTTCATAGATTGCATCTTTTGCTCTCTTTTCTTCTTTCTTTCTTTCTTTTTGACATGGAAAGCTGTAATGATGCCGAGTCAAGTTCAAAAAAAAAGAGTAGCTGTATGAGTGAATTCAAAACACTCTTTCTTGGTCCACTGCACGTTACATTCCATTCCATTCCCATTCCCATTCCCATTACAACTTGCAACGTGGGATCTTGCATCTTGAGTCTCGTGAATCAAGCTAAACTCTCCCACTTTACTTACCTACTTACTTACCTACCTACTTCCTTCAGTCACTCCCCCCAGCTCAGACTCAAACTCAAACTCCAAACTCCAGGCTAAGCTAAGCTAAGCTAAACTAAACTAAACTAAACTCGCCAGTGCAATTCTAGAACATCGTTCGCTGCTGCACTTGGGAGCTAAGGAAGTCAGTGCTGCACTGCGCTGCAATGCACTGCACTGTGCCTTGTTAGTTAGTTAGTTAGTTAGTTAGTTAGTTAATTAGTTAGTTAGTCTCTTGGTCTGTTAGTCGATATGTACGTTAAGAAGAAAATAAAACCGCGCATGTTCGCGACTAGAAACATATCTGACGCCACACACACACACACAAACAGCACTTCTTCTAGATCATCTTAGTCTCCTTACTTATCTACATACCTACCTAGTAAATCTGCTCCAAACAGAAAAATAAAAGAGGCGGCGGCGAGAATTGGGGCTTTTGCATGTGCATGTAGTTTGTTGGCGCTTGGGGAAGAGGGGTTGTTTTTTATTTTCTCTCTTGAAAAAAACAAAAAGGGGTATTCTTGGTCCTGGGATTTGAAGTATCCACTTCATTGGGACTTGAGGATTCGATGGGGCTGGTCGGGTCAGGTCTAGCTTGGAGCCTTGCAGTAGTAGTGTAAAATATGTATGTAAGTAAGTCGGTATTTCTCCTGCACACACACTATGTACTATGTACTACGTACTAGTTTTGCACTGGCGGGGGGTTTTTTTTTGCCATCGATGCGGTGTAGTTTGTGTCTGTCTGCGTGAGAGTAGGGTATGGAATGCGGTTTCTGGGGCGTTTCTTACTAAGCCCCCTTCCTTTTTTTTCGTTTAACAGCTGCTGGATTTGGATTTGGATTTGGATTTAGGTGCTAATGCGAGGGCTTTCTTAGCCCCGGCTTCGCTGCTGGAGTCGGGGCTGGGAAGGTGTGGTGGTTTAGATGTGAGGGTGGGGGGTTTTTTTTGGGAGCGGGTGGGAGGATTGGGAGGAGAGTGGAAGGGTAGGAAGCCAAGGGTTGAAATAAGGATATGAGATGGGTAAGGGGGGATGGACAAGGACAAGGACAAGGGTGAGAAGTATCCAACTATTTATTCATCGCACGGGAGAGATGCGAGAGCATCAGGGATGTGGTTTCGACGAAAGCGGATACATTGATTTGTTGTGATATGCGAGGGGAAGAAGAATTATACATGTATTGAATGGAGAGTTGCTCACCCTCCTGGAAAGATTGAGCAGCACGTGCGAAGGCGTGGTAAAACCAAACCCTCATTTCGTGTTCGACATGCCCAGGTTTCTGTGATGAACTTCGACATTGCAACTAAGTATTCTACCGAAAACCAACTTTCTCATTCGTCTCCCGTGCCATGTCAAAACGAAGAAAAGGTATGTACCCACGTGGATCAAGTAACAACACCACCACAAACAAGGCCTTGCGGCACCAAAACATCCCCAGAACATCCCACTATCTAAGGATACTTGCCACTTAAATCATCCAAGCAGTATGCAAGGCAGAAAGCCATGTGAGCCACACCGGCACACCCGAAAAGAATGCAGTTGGGCCCCGCACAAGGCGACACTGCTTCCACAAACGGGTATCAAGCCCTCGCCAAAACCCAGCGGAATGGTGCAGATGCGGCACGAGCCAGCCTTGATAACGCAAGCTACACGAATCCGGCACTGTGCAACGGCAGTGCGATAACGCATTTTCTCGCGGACTTTGGTGTAGTCCAAGGATGGGGAAGAGTGGGCATGGGGGAGAGAGTGAGAATGGGGAAAACAGAGTGCCATTATTGGATTAAGATGGTATCAGAAACGGGAACTCTAGAAAAAAATGAAGACAATAGAAAAGTGCCTTGATCATCGAGAAAATAACGGCAAAATACAATCTTAGATGTAGAATTTTCGAGATAGAGAGAAACCGTTCCGGGTAAGATGGGCAGTGACACCACCATTACCACAACCACCAGTTCCCCTGTGAAACCCCCCCCCCACTTTACCGTATCCGCTGATCGCCTCACAAATTCCAAAACAGCCTTTTTTCCTTCCTTACCCGCAATCCACTAGTTGGCAAGCTACCACTCACTGCATGTACCTGCTTGCATCCCCCCCCCCCTTCCCTCTGACAACTATGTAGCAACGCAAAACAGTATCTTGCGTGCCGAAGCGATACCCACCGAAAACGCTTTGTATGCAAAAGCGTAACTATGCAAAAGCGTTCTGGTGAATATGCAAGTGAGTCTGAGTGGCGAAATAAGCGGCGTAAGACTGCAAACTCCATGCATCCACGCCGCATGCACATGCACCTCGCGCGCCACTACACCTCCATCCCCCACCAGCCAGCCAACCAGCCATCCCATCCCCCCATCACTAGCCTACATATTCCAACCGTCTACATGGGTGTGTGCACCAAGTACCCTGCAACCAGGGGGGGTCCTATCCCATCTCCTCCCTTTCCAGCCCAGTAACTTCGAAGCCAAAGTGGGGTGTGGAGGTGGAGGTGGAGGTACTTCTCGTCACGCGCCTCCTGCATCGTGCATCTTACTTGCATCCTGTATATGTATATATGTATGTATGCCCAGCACACGATGCAAATAAGCACTGGCTCGTGCATGTAAGCTTGTATGTAGCGTTGGAATTAGCGTTAGCGCTGTCCGTTGGACTGGGAGTGGGAAATGCGAATGGAATGGAAGGGTGTACCGGGTTGTGGGTTGTTTTTAGTGGTTGATTTAGCGTAGTTTGGCGGTCGAGGGCGCTGCGGGTACTGGTTGGTTTTTATAAGGTTAGGTAGGTACTGTGCGTAAGGGAAAGGGGGATTAGAGAAGGGAGAAGTAAGGCATGGAGTTTTCAAATAAGAGGACTTTGTCTGTGTAGAATAAGTGTTTCGGTTTTGTGGGAATATGAATAAGCTGTTGCTGCTGCTTATGAGCATCAAGTTTGACACTTGACATTGGTTTTCGAGTACATGGAGAGAAATGGGGTTTACCGAAGCCGCGGAGGTGAAGGGGTTTTCGAGGTCATGGAGGGTAACAGGGCGAGGAGAGTTTAGCTTTTTTTCTCTCTAAAACATGGGCTCTCGGTGTTGTATCGGTAGTTGTAGCAACTGGGAAGTGTAGTATGGTAAGAAGATTGCAATAGTTGCAGATGCCATCAACAGTGCACATCTACATTTCATTCAAAGCCGGTTTATCATTCGATGCTAGGACTCACATTATCCAACATCAATCAAGAAAAACTGAAGGCTTTTATTCCTCCCACAGCGTATCTTGTACAAACCAATTTCCAGATCATCACATCATCCTCAGTACTTCACACACCCGCACTCACCTCTCGTGACTAAATAGCACTAAGATTCTCTTAAGAGACAACTACATCACCTGCACCCTCAAAATAACAAAACTCGCTCTCAGCAAGCAAAAAAAGCTCTTCTTCTGCTTTTTGACAGCGCCTCGTCAAAAACAATGGCTTTGGAGTCTGAGTTGTGTCGAAATGTCCAAGTAGATGTGTGTTACTAAAGAAGAAATGGGCGAGGAGCGTAATTAGATCCGGATAGCTGCGTGCTGAGGCTGTGTGATGGAGACTGAGTTCAAAGTAAGCTGGTATATTTGTGATTGGGATAGTGAGATGATGCTTTTCCAACTTGACTCGATGTATGCAACGTGGGAAGAAGGGGTATCCAGACGACCGACCGAATCCATGCAAGCCATAGCAGTCGTAGTAGTCGCCGAATTCGTTCTCGAGGTACTTTTGTCTCCACTCCAAGTCCCGCCTACGATTTATTCCTGCGCTGTCTCCTATACTATCATCAGCATAGTATCAACCCCTAAAATCATAGATCAGTAAGTCACAAGGTGCAAGGGAGTGCCAATTGTTTGCTGACGTCATGCATTTTTACGCTATCTCAATTCAAAAACAACTAATAGGGGCCCAAATGCCACCAAAAAAAAGGGGGGCCATTCGTAATCATAAGGAAAAAATATACAAGGAAAGGTTTGATCCAACTCGAAAAGGGGGGATTCCGTGTCGGGGTTCCCGGTCCACAAGGGTGGTGGGAAGAGTGGTTGGTTGTTGGGTTGGGAATGATCAAGCTAAATGATGCATTTAACCGCTGGGGTTGCCGTTGAAAGCAAGGTAGTTGACGGTGCTGGAGGGAACACCGGTGATCTTGTTCTTGAGGGAAAGGCTCTGGATGCGGGAAGAGAGAGCAGCGGGGCTGCGGGCACCCTCGAGGCTCAGGAGGTAGGCACCGAGACCAGCAACGTGGGGAGTAGCCATCGAGGTACCGGAGATGGTGTTGGTGCGGCCGCCGATCCAGGTGGAGAGGATAGAGACACCAGGAGCGAGAATGTCAACGACGGAGCCGTAGTTGGAGAAAGAGGCGATGCGGTCAGAGCTGTCAGTGGCGCCAACGGTGAAGACAGTGGGCTCAGAAGCGGGAGAAGAGTTGGCAGCGTCACGGCCGTCGTTACCAGCGGCAACAGCCATGAAGACACCAGCGGTGACAGCGTTGGCGGCAGCAGAGTTGACGGCAGTGGAGCGGCTGCCACCAAGCGACATGTTGGCAACGGCACCCTTGGGGCAGCTACGGGTCTTGACATCGTTGGCAACAAAGTTGATACCAGCAATCACACCAGAGTTGGTGCCAGAGCCATCGGCACCAAGGACCTTGACAGCGTAGAGCTGGGTCTTCTTGGCGACTCCGTAGGACTTGGAGCCAATGGTACCAGCGCAGTGGGTGCCGTGACCGTTGCCGTCGGTGTTGCTGCCATCGCCAGCGTAGTTGGCGAGGAAAGTGGCACGGCCCTCGAACTCAGGGTGGGAGGTGTAGATACCAGTGTCGATGACGTAGGCGCAGGTACCGGCACCGGCAGTGCTGTCGTAGGTGTAGGTGGTACCGCCACGGCTCTGGCTGGAAATACGAGAGAGACCCCAGGGGGCACCCGACTGGGAGACGTAGGCCTTCTTCTCGAGAGGGGCCTCGTCGAACTCTCCCAGGTTGGCCTTGATGACGGCATCCTGCTCAATGTAGTCGACCTGTACCCTGTCAGAGTCTGAAAAGATTAATGTCCGAGTATGCATCACTTACACCGGGCAGGTTGCGGAGACGGTTGACAATGTCATCAGTGATATCAGCAGAGAAACCACCAAAGCCACCGAACTTGTAGACGTGCTGAGGGTCCTTGGTGAGAAGCTTCAAGGCATTGTTGATGAGGTTCTCAACGTTCTCGTTCTTGACCTTGACAATGTAGCGTCCGGGGATGGGAGTGCCAGCACGGGGAACGATGACTGGCGCGGGCAGGGCCAGAACCGCTGGCAGAAGAGCGAGGAGGAGTGAGAGCTGCATGTTGAAGGATGGCCGAAGAACAAAGTCGATGGAGCAAAGATTGATGAGGGGCTGCTGTTGCTGAGCTGATGATTGCTGTGTTTGTTGCCTGGCGATTTGAAGAGGCGTGGCGAGTGTCTTATATAGACGTATCCGCCGTGCGATGTTGTGATAGGAGGCAAAATCCACCTTCCAATAGGGATTAGCAACTACCAGGCACGCAATTTGGTGCTAGGACGCCGTACCTACACCACAGCCAGAGGTACTGTCAATTGCAGACACGGCCCAAGATGGCGTTTGCAGACATTCGATGCCTAGTTTGGGAGGTGCTACAGTGTGTCCCGACACTACTGCCCTCCAAGCCACTGCAGTACCGATACCACCGGGGCGGAAGATCTAGGACCAGGAGGACAGGCTGTTAGTAGAAGGTCAGATGCTGTTTCTTGGCATGCTGCAGAGTATATTACTATCCCTTACTTGTTTAGGGATGTGAATAACGTCGCGTAGAGATTCAACGTCCAAGGCCCGCGGCATGGTGCGATTGGATGTATGACGGATCGATCTGCAGCGGCGAACACCCTGGCCGTCAATCCTGATAATGGAGCGAAGGGGCGGCGAGTGGCCCAGCGGCAAGCGACTGTCGGATGAAGCAGTTTCATGCAGGATTGCCACCAGGGGTTCGTCCAGTACAAGGAATGCCAGGTCTTTGGCTGCTAGTCCAAGGCCCACATGTCGTTGGATTGCAGCAGCGCCCCCATGGCCCAACCAGCTGCTTCAGTTGCATTTTGCTCCTTTCCCTCCTGGACATAACAGCGAAAAAATTGCGGGACGAGCCGCGGATGTGGTGGCAAGAAACATGGTCACCCAGAAGCCCGTGTAAGCCGTGTCTCGCAGCTACGCGAGGAAGAACAACCAGGTGACTTGAGATAGCGCTTCACATGAGAAGAAGGTGGGAAAGCGACAAGGCCGTTGAAAAGCTTGACATTGGGAGTACCATGGTTTGTGGGCAAACAGTGGGCCTGGAATCTTTCCTGCGTCATGGTACTCGCAGGGGGACTCCCAACTGGTGGTTCCCATGATAGGCTGGGTGCAGATTGCAAGAAAGCCGTCTGCGTGCTCGACGTCTTGGCAAGACATACAAGCTCACTGACGCCGCTGTAGGCGAGCGAGTAGAAGTGATTGCAGCTCCCGCCACTTGGGTATTTCCGCGCAGGTTTATTTCCCGCCCTTGGCATTGCCCGGGCCAGTGGCCTTTCTGGGAACGAAAAAGCATTAGGGCTCAGGCCGGGTCGGGTTGCGAGGCGGACATCGCGATCCCTTGATAATCTCCGGGTCACTTGGAGACAGGCCATGTCCAGCTGTTGTCACCTGCAGCCAAAGTGGCGCCATCCAGTGACCATCCAAGACCCGCTAGCATTAAGCTTAAAAGCACGTAAGTGTTGAAACCACCTCCTTCTTTGGGAGTTAGCATGATGCAAAACAATATACCCAGCCCAGCCAATAGCAACATGTCAGATAAGGCATCAACACGTCGAGGGGTGCCAGTGAAGAGTCAGCCAATGCTCCTGTCCAAGCGGGAGGAGATGAAGGGGCGGCGCCGGACTGGCACACGGCACGTTGGTCGTCGCGCGGGCGAGATGCGAAATGGCAGTGGTAAGGCTGCTGCTTCGGAGACGGATGCAGATGCGGATGAGGGCAGTGGAGCCTGATCCTCCAAGCCTCCCCCAGGACCTCGACGGGTCCTCTGCGAGATGGTGTCTTGTCGCACTGTCGATCATTACGCCGTCCGTGATTGCTCGCCCGTTGCCCAGCTCCTCCTGCCTTTTGCGTGCTGCGCTCCGCTCGCCAGAAATGATAACCAGCCACTTTTGCTGGTGAGCGATGTTGGCGAGGGCAAAGAGCCTTGGCTGTTGTGCTGTCGTGCTGCCGGGTTGGTGTTGTAGAGGTGTTGTAGAGAAGAGGGCGGGAATGCCCAGGCTGGCCGTCCACGTGCACGTGCCCCTCGGCGTGGGGAAAAGTCGGTACTCGGGATACCGTGCGCACGTGCTACACACAGCTTTTGCTGCTAAGTCGACGACATCTGCAACTATCACGACGTTTTGCTGCCGGTGCCATGGCGCTAGGAGACGTTTGTCTCTTCTCTACCAAAGTTCTGCGTACTTGGTTCCACCTCTCTTCTTTAGCGTACTGACTGACTGCAGCCAGCGGACTGGGCGGCACTGTTGCCAACAATCCAAGGACGACCAGATGCCCAATCCATGCCATTGAATCCCTACGACATATCCTTCGACGAGGCAGACAGTCGCATCTGATCATCGCCTAACCAAAACGTTCCCAGTGTTGCAGATCGAACCGCATGGTGTTTTGGAACTCGACTATGCTATCAGCGAATGGCCGGCCACGCAACCGTGCCCGAGCACGAGTGCGCACGAGACATCGAAGCCGGTGGTACTAATGCTTGCAAGAGCATCGGTCAGTACTAGCCATCCACTGCCATGGTGGTTTCGGAACCGGTGTATGTAGGATCTCCCGTGATCGCCTCGTATCTAAGACCCTGTGACGATCCTGGAGGTCTAGCTGAACGACCTTCCCTGCCTGTCCAAACTCCGCCGATGCCAAGCACGTAATCGCACCCAGCGCTTAGAGGACTACAGAACCCCACAGTCCGCCGTAGGGTTGCTGCATGGCATAGCTAGATGCACAGCTGGGGTGGTGGCTACACCTAGTCGTCGCTTACAGCTCCATGCTCGAGCAACCTGCCAATCCAAGGAGACACCGGGCTGTACTGGCGGGGATGCAGGTACATGCACCCATGCGGCTACTCATGGCGAGCATCGATTAGGCTGCTCGAATATCGCCAAGCTTTTACTATCCAATGTGTGCCAAGGCCACGCTCAACTTTCCAGACACCTTCCTAAATGGCTCTCACAAGATACGCGGAGTCTTGTGAGCAGCTTGCCCAGCTTGCTAGAGCAGAGGCGCGGGATCCGCCAGCTTCCAGCAAGACCGGCGCCAGCAAACAGGTCACGCCAAGATACCCCGGCATGCAATAGCAACCAGGCATTTGCTAGTGTGGAATACAGAAAGACGCTCCTACAGGAACGTGCTCTTATCAGCTATCAGTCATCCGCTGGCAACCCCACCGTCAATGTGTAGAAGCAGTTCCGAGAAGCTCAACACAGTCAGCACTCCCACTCCTGCCGGCGGCCCGTCCCATGCCTTCAGAGTCATCATTGGAAGAGGATCAGAACCACATGCCATCCGACAAGTTGACGGCGTGGCTTTGAGGGGCATCCAGGTGGATGCAAGGGGGCAGCCACGCGCATTTGTGCCAAGAAGTGTACATGACCACCATCCACTCCCATTGGTAGCGAGAGAGCTTCCCGATTCGGGCTCCTATTTCCAGAGGCACGTCAAAAGACCAACTCAGGCCCAGAGTGCGGAAGGTAAGCCGCGCTTAACTCGACGACTGTTTACCAAGGAACCCCGGTATTGTCTCCTTTGAGCTGCCGGCATGCGCATTTACCGATGATGTTTCTTTGTGCTTCAATTCGGCCTGCATGTGTGTCCCAAAACTCGCGCCTCTCCGTACCGCAGAGAACCAAGCTCGTTATCTGCCTCAGTCGTGTGCTGCAACCCCCACACCCCCAGCCATCCATTCCATTGACGGCGGCTTTGCATGCCTGTTCCTCACTGCCCGTTGCCGATCCCTTCCACTCTCCTTCCTCATCTTTCTTGTTCCGCATCCTTCGCGTACACACACACTCATGTCTGCACATCATGGGCATCTTCACTTGAGCGCGTACAACGCCACCAATATCGGCATGCTCGAATGCTGACGGCGGGCCGGCCCACGCTTGTACGAGGTGTGTGCACGCCGCTGTTGTCATCGCACTCGGATGGCACGACCGAGAAGGGCGCTTGCAGCATTGCCAGCATCTACTGACCTTCCATTTTGGAGGCATTGTCAGTATTGGATGTCGTGCCAAGGCTGCATTGCCGGATCCAGCACGAGGCCTGGACTCTCCAATTAAGGATATATCAATGGATACTATTTAGGGATCCCGAAAGGTGGTAGGGGCTCGTTACATCCTTCCGTGTATTATTAGCCGGAGACATCCTCTTTTACTCGCGTTGGAAAATAAGTCTTGAGATATTTCAATCGATACGATGTTGAAGCAGCATTCTTCTCTACATATCCTATGCCGAGATGCGTAGCCATGATCAATTGCAATACTCAAAGTACCAGCACGATGGTGGGCTGAGTAACAAGACTATTGCCTTTGGCGCTTGCTCCTTTGCCAGCATACTGCATGCCATGATGTTTGGTTGCAGCTTTCAATGAGCCACTTACGAGTCCTGCAGGAGATGGTGAAGTCTTTCAGGACCAGAGCTTACTCATGCTACTCCAAACAGCCTGCGAGCCCGGCATATGAGATGGCAGAAGTCTTTCAACAACCAAGACTTGGCCATGCCAATCCAAACAGTCTGTAAACACTAACAGGTATATTTGCAGTGCTGATGGAACAAAAGACTTTGGAATACTCGCATCAATGATGGGATGAGGGCGAGCAGTCTAGGAGGCGTCAGAGAACTACCATCACTCTCAGACAAGTAGACTCACAGGAAGATGCGCAGACCCTTTATCCGCCTGTGAATCTTCACAGCATGTTGTAGTATATGTCCATGACAGAGTAAGACGGCGTCGGTGTTGGTCGTGTTAGAGTCCAAGGCCGGGGACCCACGGCGGCATCCCCCCCTAGGCTAGGCCAGGCCAGGGTCCAGCTTACCAGCGCCGACCTCGTCCCTGCCTGTGCTCAACTCTTGCCAATTGACAACGTCGTCAGCATGCAGTCGCTCCCTTTCGCTCCCACCATGAAGCCGACACGATGAACTCGTCGCGCGCATTCACGAGGACCACCCAGAACACGTTCCGCAAGCCGCTCGATTTCCTCAGCAATCTGTCGCGCGGCCCCGTGCACCTCCCCAAGGACAAAAAAAGAAAGGACAGCAACGCCCGCCGCCGCAACAACAGCGCCAGCTCCATTGACGACACCGACCACTCCGACGTTGAGTTCTACGCCCAAATGGAGACGTCGAGGCGCAGCCACTCGGCGCAAAACTCGCAGGACCTGCAGCCTCCTGTGCCCCTCATAGACATCAGCAGCCGCAGCAACAGCCCGTACCCGCGCAATCGAAGCGCCGCCCAGAGCGAGGACGAGGACGACGACTTCGAGCCCGCCAGCAGCATCCGCCCCTTGGTCAGCGACGATGTCGGCAGAGGAAGCCACGTATTTCGCGGCTTCTGGCAAAGGGGCGGCCCTGGAGCCTTCCTTTTTGGCACGTGGATAGGCTGGCAGATCTGGGTTGGAATCCTCATCTTCTTTGTCGGCGGTAGCACGTTTGGCCTGCTCCTCATGAACCGCTTCATCATGCTGACGGGCGTCTACAAGTAAGGCGAGATGCAGCATACGTGGCCGGCACACGCTAATCCACGCAGATTCCCGTTTCCCCTCACGCAATCCTACGGACAGCTCATAATCACCCATTGCCTCCTCATACTCGCCTCGAGCCTCCTGCGCTTTTGCGGCAGCCCTCTGCACTTCGTCGGCTTCGGCGCTGCTGTGCCCCCATCGCAGCCAGCCGCACCACAAGGAGGAGCATACAGAGGTGGCAGGAAACCCGGCATATCTGCCTTTGCTCGCTGGCTCTCCAATGGCGCCGGTGGCATTGCAGGCGGTGGTCTGTTTGAGTTTGACTTGCAGACCGCCAAGCAGGTGTTCCCGCTCGCTGTAGTCTTTGTGGCCAGAGTCCTTCTCAGCAACTACTCGTTTGCGTACGCTGCCTCTCCATCCATCGCTGGCTTCAGCGCTAACACGCACTAGATACGCGCCACTTCCAACCTACCAACTCGCTCGTATCGGCATCACCCCGCTCGCCATCATCTTTGCCTGTGTCTTGCAAAAGGAAAATGTCACTGGCAGCACCCTCTCGGCCGCACTTATCGCCACCCTCAACCTCTTCTTCGCTTCATACCGCTCCGACGTTCGTGTGACGTGGGAGTCCGTCGTTGCCGGTGTATTCTCCTCCATCTTCGTCGCCCTATATCCCATCATGCTTTTGCGGACATACCGTGCCATGGTAGCAAGTCTTGTGCCTTCTGGAGATGTCCTCACAGGATACCCTTCGGGCTCGGAAGAGTATGGCAACCGAGAAGAGACGCGTGCCTTTTATCGCCTGCTCCACTATCTTTCGGTTGTCTCCCTCATGGTTCTCACCCCCATTGTCATCATCTCTGGCGAGGTCCCGCACGTTTACCACAACATCCCCTTCCTTGACGTTCAGTTCTTCTGGGCTATGATGTTGTTTGGTGGCCTGGGCTCATGGGCCGTTTTCTTCGGCACACTACTACTCGTCAAGACGACATCTCCATTGTCGACGACTTTTGTTGCCGTCCCCAGGAGTGCCTTTCAACTTGTCGCCATCTCCGCCTTCAAGAGTCCTGCCCCGACTTGGATCGGCGTGATTCTCTGCTGGATCAGCAGTCTGTGGTTCCTGGTTGCAAGGAGAGATGAAGGCCGTAGTCGAAATAGGCTGAGGCTGGAGGGGCGGTAGAGAGATTATCTTTCTCGCAGGTTTTCTTGTGTCTTATTCATTTTGAGCCTGGCATTTAAGACTGCTTCTTCTTCTTCTTCTTTTTTAGCTCCCCCAAAATATAGAAATATGAGATGTTGAAATTTATGTTTTTCCCCTTTTGATTACTTGATGTAGAATTTTTTTGATACCAATGAATATACATATTCTGATTTTGCTGACCCTCTTTTCATTTTACTACTGCCTGGTTGATGTGTTGCTGAGTTGATGTCGGTACGATGGTATAATCCAACGTCCTTGCTCATGGCATGTTGTCTTCTTGATTGTTTTATGAGTGACTTCGACGTGCCGACGCAGCGGCTTTCACAGCGCAGTAGATGATTCGCGTTTAATATCCGTGTTGCTGTCAGGATTATAGAATTGGAGTACTGTATATTTGAGGGAAGTGTATACTGATGATGTATTGGTAACCTGGAGGAATGAATAAACGAATCGTTATGCTCTTGTCTCTTCTTTTCACCTGATTACTTATAGTAGGGTATAATACCCTGTAGTTGCCTCCTGTGGCCTGGAATAAACCCTAACTACCTAGTGAGAGGTGATAGGAGCCTGTTCAACTTTGTCAATGTATTATCAGAAGCGATACCCAAGTTTGATTCGCAAAAAAACAGAAAATCATAACTACCTATAGAGAAGTTCGACTAAGGCTGATCAAAGTTAAGGATATATATATTAATAAAGTGAAACTGGTAGAAAAACAAAACGCATAACCTGCAGACAAACCATGTAGTTACCAAGTCCCTATGCCTAAGGGGGGATCCCTAACCCGAACACCAACTCACGGTCTCGCAAATACTTTGACCTTGACTCTACATGGAATAATCTAGAACCCCACCCCCTTTATGCCAATGTATTCACTCTCCGCGAACACATGCGAGATTACAAGGCGCACCATCATTGTGCTCTCCCGTGTGTGCCCCCATTGGTTGATTAGGATTATTTTTACTAACAATATCTTTATCATAGCGGACTCGGATCCAAAAGGTGCCGTGACAATGAGCGCTTTTTCTGTTGCTCTTTATGTAGTTTGGGTAGATCTTTTAAAAAAACCATCTTAGTTAATTTTTTTTTAAAAAAAAAGAAGAAGAAAAGGACTGAAGAAGGGGGGGGAGGGATACAGTGGGTAAGGAGCTAAATTAACGTACACAGTCAACATTTTGGTGTTTTGCGCTGTCGCATTCATTTAGATAGTCAGGTGGTGGGGTGCCAGGGGTGTTAGGATTGAAGTATTTCCAACCACTGGCACACGCCCAGCTGTCTGCTAACGCCGGGACGAAAAATATCGCTGCTGCGGAGAATAGCATCGATTGGATTTTCATCGTGTAAATATAGGGATATGAGATAAGGCAGGTGTATTTGTGTGTGTGTGTGTGTAAAAAGATCAAGTCGCGCCGCTGCTTTTAAAAGAGGCGGGGGGGACAAGTGTGTTATTATCCGGAATACTATTATGATCTTCGTAGTGAGGCCAAGGGATATTTATGTAGTAAGAAAGAAGGCAAATCTGTACTTTAGGCTATGTGAGTGCGGGTGGTTTTCATATCAATTATGTAACGTGCATTACAGATATGACATACCTAGAATCAAAGTTTGGATCGCGAAGAGGTTGGTGTAGTAAGCGCTAGATAGAGTTTAAGAAAGATATTTTGGAATAAAGTGTGTGTAGGACCGAATGTCGGGGCCGTAGGAGCACACAGGTATTGAGAAAGAACAGGCACAGATGTGGGATGGGGTGTATTGTTATAGCCAGGCTCCCTTGATCAAGGCAGGGAGGAGTAGTTGTGTTTCAAGGATGCATGGCTTTGTATTATTCGTGACGTATTTTGGCAGATAGGAGCAAAATACATCCTGAGCGTTTCTCACAAGGCCCTGACGGAGACTATATACTCCATGCACGGTTCTGTAGCGGCTCCAGCCCGAGGGGTCTGCGACAGGTCTCCGATGCTCATTGCCCTCTAAAGTATCATAATAGACTCCTATAGTCAATTCATTGCTTTTCACTAGAATCCAGTGACCAATCGCAACACACTATCACCGCGTTCAGCTACCCTTTCACCCTCTACATGGAGTAAGTCTAGAGAGGGTATAACAGCCCACCTCCATGTTAGTCCTAGTCGAAACTTAAAAAAACTTGTCGCAGGGTAATAAATAAGCCCCCTATTATATAATACCCGTGCCACGCGCCCAACTGTCCGACCATTGGTGTGCTAGACTGAAACACCCGAACGCAATTATCACGTGCTTTTACTCGAACGTAGTATATAAGTACCTCTGATTGCTTGTATAGCTCAGTAGTGATCTGTCTTGTGAAATACTAGTACTGGTACTACTAATGTCTTCTGTTTCTGTCTATACAATGTGCTAGAATACCCTAACCGCTATCATACTAACTGGAGGTTAGTGTGTGGCGCGAGTAGGGGCAGGATTTAAATTGTATCACCAAAAGCTGTTAACCCCTAATGACGAAGGAATATCATACAAGATAGTGGTAAGGTGCTGGAAGCAAGGGAGTGCTATACTAAGCGCAATAACGAGTGTACCAGAGTCGTACAGACGAGGTTTTCAAAAGTCATTACTAGTGTCAGCATGTCAGCTTAGATATTAGCCCAACGGTTTCTTGGCAACTAGCCAAGATTTTGGTGAGCTGTTATGAAAATGTTGACATACTCATGTATAAAAGGTTTTAGTGTTAAGATAGCTTCTCGTACTCATACTAATATCTCGACGCGTACTGTAACTATTGCACTAAAATCTACTTTTTGGAGGCAAATCCACGACCTGGATTAGCGCGAATGCTTACTAGTGTTGTAACACGGATGATCGTCGTTATTTATAGCAGAGCTTACTAGTGAGAATCCAAATTAAACGTGTACTGCTTTAAACTCCTTCTAGAGTATCTTCAAGATGATTGGCGAACCGGTTGTATATGTGGGTAAGATGTCGTATGATAGGCAGTTGTTTAGAACGCACGCTATACTTGCTTTAGATAATGGAAGAGTTGCGCTAATATAGGTAGTGACGTTACTGTTGTCTTCTATTGTGTACTTTACTAAGTTGTGAAAACTGCTGCGTTAAAACGTCCGAATCACTCATAGAACAAATAAATGATAGTACTAGACATGCTAGGGCTAACTTAGCCAAGTGATTAAAATGAACTGAGCGATGCAGCATCGCAATCACATAATGCCATCTGGTATGTAGTGGAAGGAAAAGAGTAAAGACCTATCTTTTTATATATAGGTAGCTAAAACTCCTCATGTATATAGCTTCCGTTAACCAAGTCAATATAGGCAGAGTCCACTGCATCAATAATTGAGCGAATCGTACAAAAGCGGAATCATATAGACGAGCAAATACACATTACATAATCATACTATTCAAAACTTGCCATGGTGCGCTAAACTTTTTCTTCCTCACTTCGCACGTGCATTCAATCCGTGCTGTGACACTGCTCATTCGTCGTCATCTGAACGCCCGTGTAAACCAGATGATCTTGATTGATGAAGCCAACCGCCTTGTTGCGGATACAGTCCGGGGCCTCCTGGCCAAAGCAGCGGAAGGTGGTCTCGGGAGACTGTGTGCCGGTGATGAGTTTGGTGTCTTGCTCGTAGATTTCCGTGAGAGTATGCTGAAAGCCCAGAGGTTCGAAGGGCAGATTGGGTATGCCATCAATGCCGTGCGTCAGGCGCAGTAGGTCGCCAAGCTGCGTGTCGCTGGCGCCAGATAGGTGGTCGGTGAAGGCGGCGTAGGCTGGGTTGCCGATGCGCAGCGCGCCCATGGTGTATGCGGCGGCGACAGGCACGTCGTTGGCTTTCAAATCTGTGTATGCCATGCTGGCCAGGCCGCCGCCTAGACTGTGGCCTACGATAATGGTTGAGTAGCTGGGCTGTTGATCACGCAGCTCGCTCAGTGCAGCGACTAACTCGCCCTTCACGGACCGCCACGCTTTAAGCACCCCGCCGTGCACTTGGCACCCTGAACACCCGGGGACGTCGTCGAATGGCTTGAAGAAGAAGTTGAAGTCTGTGCCGAAATCTTGGATCGAGGCGGATCCTGGAAAGGATACAATAAGTTCTTGGGCTGCGTCGTCCTGGAATATCGCGACTTGCGTGTCGGTGACCGTGTTACTGATTTTGCGGACGAGGCGCGACTTGAATGGCGGGCTTTTGCAGGTTCCAAGGCCATAGATAAACGTCGCCATGGAGGCGGCGGCGAACCGGGTGTAGCGCTGGAGAACGGGGTAGAGGTCTGGGTTGACTTTTGTTCCGGGTGGTCAGTGGGGAAAAAAAGAGGTTTGCGTGTATGGGATGTCTTTTTTTGGCGTTCCTGACTTACTGAGTTCCCGAGGTCTTGCCTGGCGGTCCACGAGCTTGGAGGATGGGGCGGGCGCAGCCTGGGCTATGGGTGCTGCTAGAGCAGCGAGAACAAAACGAGTGACTTTCATGATGGGCGTGAGTAGGGAAAACAAGAACAGAGAGAGTGGTGTAGTTGGCGATCTAGATACGGTGCTGACACGATCATGGGAGCACCCGTGTAATTATACTCGAGTATCACACCCCTTTCGTCCGCCTGTTATACCATTTGGGCGTGAAGGCAGCCGATCAATCAAAAACACGTCGATCATGCCATAGCAACCTGCATGTGCCGAGTCCATTGTCTGGACTGCAAGTTGCCAAGCATGGTATTCGGCATGGCTTAGTAGGCACGAAGTGTGACATTGAATCCAAAGGTAACGCTCTAAAAGAAGGGTCCATGGGGACGGAAGTGAACGGATAAGGCCAGTAAAACCCTTAAACTTCGGAGTTATGCTTTTTGCGCATTAGCGGAAAGGCAGTCCACAGTGCTCTTCTTTTTTCGGTGGAGACCGATTCCGTAAACGCCACAATGTTCGTTGTGTAACATGCTTGTGCTTGCATCTGTATGGACCAGGTCTGAGGTACGGTGACATCCACCATGACCAGACAAAATGGATTATGTGGGGGATCGCCCCAGGCTCTACAATTCAGTAACCCCACCTTGGAAGCATATAAGCGTTACCTTTCGCACCTGTGTTTCGCTATCAGCTGTCAGTGTCTAAAAAAGGGACCTGGTTTTGTTGGAGTTTTGTGCAAGCAGAGGAATGCTGGATATGCTCGGCCGAAGTCGCTATGCTGTTCACAACACGAACCCGACTTTCGCTGTATGCGGAGTCAAAGGCTGATTGACTCATGGCGCTAACTGACTCGTTGTTCCTGTTCGATATATCAAGAGATTCTCCATGTGAAGGAACTTTTTCTGTTGCACCTCGCGTAATGTGCTTTGAAGGCTGGCCGACTCGGCTTGTTCGTTTTCCACAACTCGTATCGACAATAGTGCCCGTAGTAGTTCCAAGCGATGGCGCAATGACCTTGGATGACATAGTGGATGTCGATCACCGTCTTTTTTTGGGAGTGGAACTTTTGATCAAGCGAGTGCACCATGGAAGCCTAGCATTTGACCTTGTTGCGCTGCATTGAGTCAATGCAATGATTTGGTTTTTGATTTTTACTTGAACGCGTGAGTGCTGCATTTCCAACTGAAGTACACCAGACCAAGGCTCGGTCTTGGTCAAGTAGCCGGTCTTGTGAAAATGACGACGTTGGTTAAATTAAACCTCGTATAGTTGTGCCCAAGAGCGATGATTGCAGCAACAAGTGGATCTTGCCAACGTAGGCAGTTTGCTAGCTTTGTCAAATGGAGAGAGTGCAGGAGATAGAGTGAGAAACGCAGCTCGAGGCCTGAGGATGAAGATGATGCGGATGCTAGATCTCGTGATAGCGTGACACGCCTGACGCGTGCTCCCACGTGGAAAAAGGTGGGGCGTGGTGCCCGGGCAACACACGCCAAGCTTCTTCTGGCGTCAACACGAGGGGCTTGTTCGACACCAGCCATGTCCACCGCGACCCCACACGGCTGCCTGAAGATATTCAAAAGTATTGCAGCCTAGGACAGTCCATGTCCGGCAGCCCTCGCAAACACCGTGCGCCTTTTCGACCAGTCGACACCCTCTCTACCGCCCAGAAGCCCGTCTTCAAAGCCCCTACCACCCCCGGCACTGCATACGTTTCCGACGACAGCGACATCCCCCGCGAGCAGTCGGCCTCTCTCCTCGGCGATTCAAGCACGCTTTTTGACGACATTGAGAGCCCTCCAAGCTTCAAACAGCAGCGGGAAAGTCTTCAGACAAGGCTGAAGATGGTGCGAGAACGAGAGCCTCCAAGGCCGCCGCCACCCCGGGATGGGGCAGTGCCTGCTCCGAAGCCTCTACAAGAGCTCAAGAATTCAACACCGCAGTTTGGGGAGACCAGTCCGATACGGAACCCCCTCAAGAAAGACCGGAGCGAACAGTTTGCTCACCTCTTCAACAAGCCCAAGCAAGGCCAGATGCGACCCGAACATAGCCAGTCGACCAAACTTCCGTCACAGTATTCGGCACCACCAAGAGCCTCCCAGAGCTCAAGTTCTAGCATGGATACTCTCAGTCGCCCGTTCAAGGTCCCGTCTTCACAAACCGGACCACGCTATAGCACCGCATCTACCTCTTCCAATGGTTCCGACGTCTTTGAGATCCCTGCTTCGCAGTTCCAGCCGCGATCATCTCAAGTCGGCCCCGTGCCTATTGCAAAGCCTTACAATCCCCCATCAAAAACGACTCATGCACCGCCGCGACCGATATACTCGTCCATGGGCCATGCTGATGACTTCCGGCCAGTGAACAAAGGCACACATAACCCGCTGCAGCAAGCGCGCCAGACAGTCATCTTGGATGATGAAGATGACTTTGATCCGGATGAGGCTATTCGGCGTGAAGGAAGCCGTTTCGGTGAACCCGACATGTACGCGTATGTCGATTCTGGTGCAGCAAGCGAAAACATCAAAGCACTGTTAGAAGGAGCATTTGATGAAGAAAACGAGAAGATCCCGAGGACGCGTCTTCGTAAGAAGAAGAAGCAACAAGAGGATGACGCCGGTACGTGGAATCAATGCCCTTTCAAGCATTCATATCACTAACCTAGCCAGGTAAATCCCTTGCCGACCGACTTCAAGCACTCGCAGTCAAAGAAGAAGAAGAAGCCAAAGCCGAACCCGAACCCGAAGAGGAAGAAGAAGATGATGGAACAGTCGAAGGCCTCAAGGTCAAGCTTCTGCCTCATCAAGTTGACGGTGTGGCATGGATGATTGAGAAGGAAACAGGCAATCACAACAAAAAGGCCAAGCTTCCCAAAGGTGGTATACTTGCAGACGATATGGGTCTGGGAAAGACCGTGCAGTCCATTGCTCTTTTCCTCTCAAATCCACGACCAGAGAAGGGGGTTGAGCCAGAGAACAAGAAGAACAAGATCTCCGACTCCACAGGCAAAGGCACTCTCGTCGTCGCTCCACTCGCATTGATCAAGCAGTGGGAATCCGAAATCAACAGCAAGGTCACCAAATCGCATGCACTCAAGGTCCTGGTCCACCATGGCCCGAACCGTACAAAGTCGGCCGATAAACTCAAGCAGTACGACGTCGTCATCACCACATATCAAGTCCTCGCTTCCGAGCACGCGTCTTGTGGAGATGGCCCAGACGGCCTTAAGAAGGGCTGTTTTGCTGTAAACTGGTACCGCACCATGCTGGATGAGGCACATACTATCAAGAATCGCAACGCAAAGATGACCAAGGCTTGCTACGAAATAAGCTCCCATTATCGCTGGTGCCTGACTGGCACACCAATGCAGAACAACATCGATGAGTTGCAAAGCTTGATCAGATTCCTCCGCATCCAACCCTATTGCGATATGTCGTCTTGGAAAGATTCCATAGCAGGCCCTATGAAGAGTGGCCGTGGTAACCTAGCGATGAAGCGTCTTCAAGTCTTCTTGAGAGCCTTCATGAAACGCCGTACCAAAGACGTATTGCGCAAGGAAGGTGCACTCAACTTTGGCGGAAAGCCGAAGGACGGCGAAGAAAAGCCAGCCTTTAATATCGTTGCGCGCAATGTCGAAAATGTCATAGGCGAGTTCACGGCAAAAGAGCGACTGTTTTACGACCGTCTGCGAGATCGTACACAAGCCCGCCTTGACGAGATGATGGGCGGTGAGAAGCAGGATTATATCGGAGCGTTGGTGTTGCTTCTCCGGTTGCGACAAGCATGTGATCATCCTAACCTTACGAGGAGCAATGTCAAGGATGACAAAGACGCCTTAACCACAGGATCAAGATCAAATGCTGCAGCAGGCCTTCAGACGCCGCGAAAACCCAGTGCCAAAGACGATGCTGATGACCTTGCAGACTTGCTTGGTGGACTTAGCGTTGCGACCAAGCGCTGCGATATCTGCCAGAATGCACTTCATAGGGAAAACACTGCTGCCGGTGGAGTACGCTGCATTGAATGTGAAGAGGACTTGAACATGTCTACAAAGAAAGACAAGAAAAAGCATCGCAAGCATAGACACAAGGATGGTAAAACCAAGAAGAAGCATCGCCGACCGAAACCAGTCGTAGAGTCTGACGAAGAAGAAGAGGAAGAAGACGAGGAAGAGGAGGAGAAAAAGCCAAAAGCTGCAGCGAAATCAGCTCGCAACCGTCGTGTTGTAGTTGATAGTGACGATGATGACGAAGAAGAGGGCGAGTGGCTTGTCCCCGAAGACCAACGTGAGGTTGAGGATCTAGGCAAGGCCGGTGGAACCGACGATGAGAACGCTGAAGGTGGTGGTGATACGCTGGCATCTGTCGATTCCGAGGCATCAGAGAGTGCAGATGAGAGTAAAAGCAATCTGGATTCTTTCATCGTCCACGACACTGACAGCGAAGATGAAGCACCTGTCTCTCGCAAGAAGCTGGTAAAGAAACCACAAAAGGTTATTCAAGTCGATTCCGATGAAGAAGAGACGCAGAGTGAGGGCGAGAGCGAGAGCGGTTCAGACGAATCGGGGTCCAACTCAGACGAAGACGATGATGCATCAGATTCTGAAACGTCCGAGGACTCTGGTAGTACATCCGATTTGACACCCTCCACAAAAATCCGACAGCTCTTGGCCATTCTAGAGAAAGAGACCGACGAGCACAAGGTCATTGTCTTCTCTCAATTCACATCGATGCTTGACCTGATCGAGCCCTTTCTCAAGCGCGCTGGGTACAACTTTACGCGCTACGACGGCAGCATGCGCAACGATCTCCGCGAAGCAAGTCTTCATAGACTACGAGAGGACAAGCGTACACGTGTCTTGCTATGTAGTTTGAAATGCGGTAGTCTCGGTCTCAACCTTACGGTCGCAAGTCGTGTAGTCATCATGGAGCCTTTCTGGAACCCAGTACGTATCTTCTTTTCCCTCCTATTCTCTTCTATACTAATTTTTTCATAGTTCGTTGAAGAACAAGCAATTGATCGTGTTCACCGCCTCAATCAAACCGTCGACGTAACAGTCTACCGTCTCAGCATCCACAACTCTGTCGAAGAGCGCATTCTCGAACTGCAAGAAGCGAAGCGCAAACTCGCCAATGCGGCCATCGAGGGCGGCAAGGCTATCAAGAATCTCACTATGAAGGACATGATGGCGCTGTTCAGTCGTGAAAGCGAATACGATCGCAGACACGATGACGATGCTCAGGAAGCGGTCATGTACGGACGCACAAAGGTGCTGAATGCTGATGAGCATGGAGACGAGGAGATTGTGATGAGGAAGGCGAGAAAAGCAGGTAGTTTGGGATTCAAACGGACCGAGAGGAGAGAAGAGGCCGGCGCTTACGGGCGGCGTTGAGCACGCTGAGGTCTCAAGCTATCTTGGTGTTGCGGTTGCATAATGGGCGTTGGTGTAGAACGGACTTGCAGTATTCTTGGTTTTTCTCTTCTGATGTTGAATACATCTGGAAGACTAGGGCTCTATGATAATGAATGAAACGCATGTTGATGTTCAGACAACGTTCAAATCAAAGATGTTGTGTTTGATTCTTGCATCACATGGGCAATGGGGTTTCTGCGTCCTCAAACTATCGAAAGGTCGAAGATTAAGCCTAGAATGATGAATGTTCTGACGGGATATTGGAATTTTCAGATAGTTGAAACCTGAACACATAACGTGTACCAGCGCATCTCCAACCCGTAGTGAATCACATGATCACAAGCTGGAAATAGCAGGTGGTACAAAGAGGAAGAATAGTGAAGTTGCGGCCTCAGTGTGCGCAATCGAGCGCGGATCATCTGTATCCTTCAATCATTTCAAGCTGCCGTCGGGCTCGTCAGTGTTGAGAACCCCCAGTAAGTGCAGCTGCAATACATATAGTACACAAAAGTACACAATCCATGGCCCGCTTATTTGCCGCCGACCCTCTTGTTCTTGAGCTTGATTGTCTCTCCGTTGACAAAGATACCCTTGCCCTTATAAGGCTCCGGTCTCCTCCAATTCCGAATTTCTGCTGCAAACTGCATGACGACCTCTTTCTCCGGCCCCTCTAATAGCAAACGTGTGGGTTGCGGTGTGCTTGCGGTAACGCCTTTGGGTATGCCGAGCTCGACTGGGTGCGAGTATCCAACCTTCAAATTGATAAACTTTTGGCCGGGATATTCCGATTTGACCGTGGTCGCGCTGTCTTCAACCGAAGCACGGAATCCGACTCCGACGAAGCGCAGAATGGCGCTGTGGCCTTCGCTGACACCGAGAATGTGGTTTTGGAGGTATGCGCGCGTGGTGCCTGTTCCCCCAATTAGCAAATGAGGCGCTTTAAGATATGCGGTATCTGTACCCCACATGGCTTTTTGCTTCGCATCCGTTGTGTCCTCAATGGTGAGAGTGGGACCATTTGGGTTCGCATCTTGATCGATATGCACGTATGAAGGAATGTCCATTGAGAGTTCACCGAGTGGTCCTTTGACGTGTACGGTCGACATTGATTGCACGCGTGATCCCTTGTCTCTTCCTGAAGGCGCAATCACCTTGAATGTGACACCCTGGGGTATTGAAAGCGGTGCAGATCCAATCTTCGATTGACATGGTGTCGTGCTAGTAAATGTCCTTTGCGGTGTTTTGGAGAACGCGGGCAGCAAAAATGCCGGTATCGATTCGGGCGATTGAATTGGTGCCTTTACAAGGCTTCGCGCGCATCGCTGTCGTACTGGGGCGAACATCTTGGATTGATGCTGACTATGTCTTCCGCGAGAATTTCGGGAATCCGTATGTCGACGCTGACTCATCCGATCTCGTGATAGCGCGTCATTGGCGGGTCTGATTGGCCGGCCCATCAGCACCTTCCTCGTCCGACTGTCAACACCACAAATCTCGTTTTTGTTGTGATGCAATGAGAAAATGCTTTACATCACGGCATTGAGCTTTGACACTTGAACACCAGTTCTGTGGCCTCAATTCGGGCCAATCTGCTTGCTCTCTGCTAACAACTCGTCTTTTACTTCAGATTTGCTCTCACCCAGACATTGCAGGAAGCTGCGATGCTCCAAGCCACCGAAAACCGCATCTCCTTTAGTCTCTTACTACACCGCTTGATATCGGGGCCTGCATCACGGATTATGGTGGTATATCTCGTCCTTCGCCTTTTTCTTTCCTCCAACTACTCTCCACTCACATGCTCTTGCTCTCCTTCATTCTCAATCTGTGCCGGCATATCGATGGCCCTGACCATCCGCCAGCAGGCCATATACATGGATATTCGGAACAACATTGGCATTGCAAATGCCGTCATCTTTGGCCTTTTCTTCATCCCCAAAGCCCTTTCTCAATATCATTCCCCAGCAGCAGACGCAGCCACCACAATCGATGTCACCTCACTTTTCCAACACACAACATCCAGGAACCAGAAGGTGATAACACAAGCTGTTGACATTGTCATTTCTATGCAGACGGCACCTACATGCACGCAAATGGCTGCTTCGCACTTGATGAACGAATGCCGACTATTGGAGCATGCACCGGACTTTGCCCGAGTTCGCCCTGAGGCATATCTGGATAACGTCAAGACTGAATATGCAGCAAAGTTGGCTGTTTGCGAGCTACTCAGCGCTCAGCCAGTCAATTCAGCGGCGCCACCACATTGTGATGTCCTGATTCCTGCGGCACGGCATTGCGGTAAAAGCGGCAGCTGGTGGCATGCTCAAGCCGTGGTGTCCAGTGACAAACAGTGCTATCCTACGTTTAAAGAACGCCAATACATACAATGCCTCAAAAGCCTTCAATCTACACCGCAATACTGGACATCGTTCAGCAACGCCCGTCAGAACGCAGTTGTCATGTGTCAGGCAAGCAGAGACGCCATTGAGCGAGAGAACCATCTCGAAGTCTTCAAAAATCTAACCCAAGTTCTCGGTGGTGTCATTACGAACATGCAAAAGACGAATGAGGAATACGAGTCTTTGATCCGGCAGCAGAGGCGGCATTCTGAGGAAGTCCGAGACACTCACCAGCAACTCAACGAAGAGCTGCAAGCAGTCCGAGCAAAGGCCGTTTCAACAGTCGAAGCCATGGACAGCAAGTTCCACACTTTCATGGAATCGTCAATTTCGGATTTCATAACAGCGCTGGGTACTAGTCAGAGCAAAGAGATGGACAAGATACGTGAGAGGATGCAGGAATTCTCACAAGACTTGATAGTGGAAAGCTCTCAGCTCGCAAAATACTTTTCTGATCAGCTTCAGCAGTACCATGAGCGCACTCTGGCTAACCTTCAAGTCAACCACGAGGCACAAGTGCACAGTTACACTGTCCTGTCAGGCTACATGGCCACTGCACAGAAGACGATGAACACGACAAACGATGTGGCCGATCGCTCTCTTTCCAAGGTGGACAGCATTGCCCAGCGACTGGATCTCTTTGAATCTCAAACAGAGCACATTGCCGAGGGCTTCGCGTTTCTAAGTGCCATCCCCGCACTTTTCAGACTGATTGTGCGAAGATTCGTGGCCACGATTGGCACCGCATTCATCTTTGCCATCCTATGCAGACTTAACACAAGGCTTGCCACATACACTGCCGGCGCATGCAGTTCCGCCTTCCTGCTGCACACAAGCGGCGTCTTCGACTGGCTTGCAGCAATCCCTTCCAGCATCACCAACATGCAGTCTCAAAGCCCGCTCGCTATTCTCATCACCATGTCCTCATGGAACAAAGGCACTGGCCTCGTTCTTCTGCTGTGGCTGGCCGCATACCCCGTCTGCCGCTTGAACATATACCTCGGGACCCTTGTGACCACAGCGGCGAGACGGCTGCTAGCGCACCTGTGGCTGAGCGAGTACACCAACGATGGCGGCACGGGATACCTGCCCAGCATCGAAGTTCCTGCGATAACCCAGCGCAAAGACGAAAAGCATACCAGTTACCGGCAGCTTCACAACTAGCTGCTCGATATTTCCCATTGGTTTGCTGCTCCCTCCAGCTATCTTTGAAAGAAGCAACCTTGCTAACATGCGTGCAGATAGATATTCTCAAAGTACCATTTGATCGACCATTCATACTACATAGTAATATGCGCATGCACAGCTTCTAGCGATATACAAACGATATATTTTAGGCGTAGACAGGGGGTGGGAATCTTACCTTGATATCAATATAGCAATGAGGCGCGTCGAGTGAGGTGGGATATTACGACAAAAGTCCTTTTTATTTTCACCAATGGCTTCATGGAATGGAATGGGCTTCTGCAGGAGTCTCTCGAGTATTTGTTTTCCACCACTACGGTCTTGACAGGTGGAAGGCAAAAAAAGGGGGATAGGATGGTTAAACGTTTTCTTTACATGCATATTCGGATATTCACATTTTATGTATCTAGGCTTTATATGATAATTTTTGCCCTTGTAGATTCTGCAAGTAGTTCAAGGATGCCATGATAAGCCAGTATATTGCATATTATGGAGAGAATCTCGCTCAATCCGAATCATCAGGCAACTCTTGTATGCGGCCAGAGCGATATGCTTGCTCGACGGGATTCTGCACGTTGACGACGCCGGTGGCTTTGAGTCTGGGTTTTGCGTTAGCAGCTATGTGGGGGGAAAAGAGCACCCGCCCCTGATACCGGGCAGATAGGAAAAGAAAGAAGACGTACCTTTCAAACAAAACAAACAAGCGCTCAGCCTCTCTCTCCTTCTCCTCCTGCGTCATGGGCTCCATGTGCACGTGCTCCTCCTTGTCGAGGCGCTGTCCCGTAATGGGGTTTATGGGAATGCCGTCATTTGCATTTTCATGCGCATGCGCCTTGATGACGTCGTCGGGCATCTGAATGTTATTCGACATGAGGTAACCCGATGCAAAGCCGTAACCAACGTTATGCACAAAAGTCGCGGGGTCCTTGTGCGACAGCTCGAAGAGCATGGAGGAGATGGAGCCGCGCAGGGTGGCGGTGTTTGCAGAGGTGGAGAGGTTGAGCAGGCGCGAGGGCAGCGTGTCTGATTTGCCGAGGGGCTCGTCGCGTTCCTCGGGGGTGGGCAGGATCATTTTCTGCATGGCGGTTTGGACGGCGTCGGGCGCGATTTCGTATATGCTGCGGAGGAGCGTGACGACGGGGGTGATGGTGTCGTCGAGGTCTTTGTCGGGGTATGCGACGATGGCTTTGTCGAGGATCTTGACCAGGTGCTCGGCGTTGCGTTTGGGGTCTGCCGCTGGGAACGTGGCTTGCTTGCCCTCTGCGCTTTCGAGATGGAGATGCAGAAGCGCGTTGACGAGTTCGCGGGCGGGCGCCGCGAGGGGTGGCTGCGTGATGCCTCGCTGGACGAGGATCTTGAAGACGTTGGGGATCGACTTTGTGAAGTGCGGGTTGAGGTCTTGGTGGAAGTGGATAATGTTGAAGACGAGCTTGAGCGTCTCGGCGAGCGCCATGATGTCCATGGGTTGTGTGTGTCCTTGGGAGGGCTTGCTCGCGTCTGTCGAGTAGCGCTGGGCATGTCGTTGTATGGCGGCGTTGATGCTGTCTGCTAGTTGGTTCTCGCGCACGAGCTGGGTGTAGTCGAGATTCGCATCGTAAGTCATGAGAAAGAGGACGCGCGCGGCGAGGAATTCGTCGTCGACGCTGTCGCTCTGTGCGCGCAAGTCAGCATGAGGCTGTGAGGATGTTAGGGAATCGATATCTCTCTTGCCTTTAGCTTCTCTGCTGCATGGGGGCCATGGCCTAGGTCGACGAGCATCTGGCGGGTCTTGGGCTGGAGCAGCAGCGCGTTGGCTATGCAGCGCAGGGCCTCTTGTGAGGCCGGGGTGGTGGCGCCGTGGAACGCATATCGTCCCAATGTTTGGAGGCCCTATGCGGGTCAGTATACTGTTTGCGACGGACCAGACGAGCGGTGGAGGCGTACATGGTGGGTGAATATGGGGTCGGCGTTGTCGACTGAGCGCCCATATACCTTGAGCTGCTCGAGCAGGCCCCGCCGTTCTATTCAAGCAGTGAGTAGCTGGCCCAGGCGTGTGGCGTGGAGAGGTGTACGCTCAACTGAGAGTTTGTTTGCGTCGAGCTCGGCCTGCAGGTCGGAGAGGATGCGAGTGACGTCGTCGAGCTTGGCTGCGGGTGGGTTACTTAGCAACGTCCAGGTTGGTCGAATGGCTACGCACCCTTTCCTGACCTTTGCGACAACATGGCGGCTGGGACGCGGGGTTGTGTTTATGTTTTCCCAGCAGCGGGACGGCCGAGGGGTATAATAGTATTGCTGCTGGCGCTCTGGCTTGCGGAAGCCCCACCAAGTAGAGACGTCCATGGCATGCTACCACCTAGGGCCCCAGTCTCGTGCTCGTCGAGGCCGGGCCGATGCAGTGCTGGTGCTGGTGCTGGTCCTGTTTCAGCCTGTGGCGGTTGGCCGTCGGTATGTGTGTGTGTGTGTATGTATATGTATGCACATGCATTCCTGGCCAGCCCCAGCTGCTGCGTGTAAGCGCCATGGCAGCGCGGCAGAGGCCCGCCTCGCAGGTGTGTAAGCTCGCGACGGCCGCCCATGCGCGCACCAGCCGAGAGCATCATGGCATGCATACAGACACAGCGCAGGGGGCGGCGGCTGGCTCCAGAGTCCGTCTCGCGGTGAATAGGCGGGTGTGGCATGGCGGTTTGGCACGGGCGGCACTTTACGCGGGCGCGTCCCGCTAAACGCGTCGCCAACGCCAGCCTTGCCTTTGCATGTCTCGGGGCCGGGGTCGTCGATCGTACATCCACCTCGCGTTGCCGTTGCCTTTTGCTAACTCTCTTCTTGCGCGCGCACGGCGAGGCCATGCCCGGACCGCTTCTGCCTCTTGTCTTCCGTCTTCCCTGCCCGTCGATTCCAGCGTAGCCATGGTCCTGTCCAAATTCGAGGCCCTCTCTGTTCGCCCGCCCACACCACCCAAGGACCTCCAAGACACGGGCGCCGACGAGACGCTCGAGTTTCTCCAGGACCCGTTTGGAGAGAAGAAGCCGGTCCCCCCCCGGCTCAAGGCCGCAAAGGTCCCCAACACGCCCGAACAGTCGCCCTCGTCCGACATCGACATCCCCTCGAGCGCGGCGAGCACCAGGAAGCGGGTCAACTTCGAGCTGCACACATCATGCAACCCCATAGGCAGCAAGGCCATTGCGCAGTCCTGGACCCCCACGCGTAGCTCGCCCCTCCGCCCGCTCCCCCAGACCCGCCTCACCAAGCCGCTCAAGTCAATCCTCAAGCCCTCCGACGGCACGCCTACGCCTCCGCCCGCCGACGACGCGGCCGCCGCCCACAGGTTCAGGTCCTTTGCCGAGATGCTCGAGTCGATCGTGAAGCTGCTTGCCTCGTCGGAGCGCTCGTCGCGCATGGACGCCTACAACTCGCTGCACAGGACCATGCAGGCGTACGACAAGATCCCCGACGACCAGGCCTTGAAGCAGAAGATGTCGCTGTTGACCCAATTCATACGGCGCGATATCCAGGCCCCCAGCATGACGGGAACAGGCCTCGACTCGCAACTCATTAGCCAGGCCATGAAGCTGCTCATGGCCCTGTTCCGCATTCCAGACCTCATCCCCGCCATGGACGACGACTTTTGCTCTTTCATTGTGGACCGCATTATCCGCTTGGCTAGCGACAGCTCCACCCCAAAGACGGTTGTCAACACGTTCCTTGCTGTGCTCATGCAGCAAAACTTCCGCCCAAAGATCATAACAGTAGCCCGCGTGGAGAAGGCGCTGGAAGCACTCGACACCATTCACGAACGCGTCTCAGGCAATGCTGTGCAGGCCTACCGCATACGCATATACCGCAAGTTTATCCACCAACGGCCAGACGTCATGATCAAGCACACTGAGCGATGGTTTACCTACACTCTCAAAGCCTTGGTGTCAACGCAGAAAGACATCAGCCAGAGTGCTCTCGATACCACCGTATCCGCCGCAAAATCCATTGGCCACGACCGGAACGTGGCGAGATCTATACTGGCTGTGCTGAACCGAGTGAAGAGCGATGGCGTCACAATTGCTGGCATTTTCACAAAGGAGCTGGGTCGGATGCTGGGGGGTGAGAACGCTGTTTTGGTGCCACAGATCTGGGCCGCCGTCACTGGCCTCCTCAAAGATTCACTAAACAGTGAAATGTTCACCGCTCTCAAGGAGTGGCTCGGGGTTCTACAGTCGTGCATCTCGTCCGAGAAAGAGCAGGTCAGGATTCACTCCAATGTTGCTTTCTGCTTCCTTCTCTATTCGGTCCATCCAAGTCCCAACACTACCGAGGCGTGGTCAAAAATGTTCCTGAGCATCTCACTGCATGCGCTGCAGCGAAGCGCCTCTGCGAAGAAGCCAGAACGAGCCCCAATTTCCTCTGGCTACTTTACGCTACTGTACTACGCGCTTCGCCCTACAGCGTCCTTTGCACAGCTCGACCGATATTGGACCGAGTTTGTGGCATCCCTCTGGAACCCGCTGATACACGCGGCACCTGCACAACATGCCCTCCCTGCATGCCGCCTAGTGTCTGCACTCTTGGACGGTTCTAGGAAGCCTTGGGACGAATACCGAGCACTGGATCTTCGGCTACAGTACATGATTCAACGTGGAGAGTTGCCTCTGGTCGACCCAAGATGGGTTCGAAAGTCAATTGGCTTGGTCCTTCAGTTTGTAGAAACTCTCTTGGATGCCACTCTGTTGACCGAAACCAAGGAGCCCGAAGACGAGCCAGTCAAGGCTATGTGGCTTGCACTCATCAACTCTTTAGTCGAAGCTAGCAGCAAGGAGATTATGGCCTCTACAGAGACCAAGGATGCCATGGCGCAGATCATCAACCTGTTGCGCCGAATCTGGGATAGACATACTGCAAAATTAGCTGTGCCGCAGAACAAGGAAGACCTATGGGCAGACAAGTTTTGCTTCCTAATAGAAACAGTCGTGCAGAAGATGGGCGCCTTTCAGTTTGCGGACAAGAGTCTCACTCGCAACGACAAGAACGAATTTGAGGTAGCGTCAACCCCGTCACACCGGTCACGAACTCATGGTACACGGACATCGCCACTTCTCTATTTGGTGGACCTTTTGGTTACTCAATCAGAAGGAAAATTGGCGGATCCGGTTCGACTCCGCATCATTGAAGTCATCATTAAGCCATGCTTTGCAGCGCAAAACACCCGACTGAGTAAGCTGGAACTTCTCCGGGACTGTGCTGCAACTGTCGGTGGCTCACTCAAGGGCGTGGTATCTTCGAGCTTCTGGGTTCAGATCTCGGCTTTGCTCAACTCAACGCTGCTTGAGTCAGGCGCTGCATCCAACGAACGCACTGCCCGTCCGCTTGGAAAAGAGTATGAGACTGTCGTGGAAATCCTGACCTTGGGTGCCGATTCATTGGTAGACAAACCATATGGCCATCAGATTTTGTCGACTTTTATCGACACAGCCCGTCGGGAAGCTGGAGAGGGTGCACTCATTCTGGGCGTTATTGAGAAAGTTTCCGAATGCGTCCTGAAGCGCATGTCAGACGAAGAAAAGGCTTCTTGTCTAGCATATGCCAGCATCCTGCTCCGCAATCTCCCAAAACAGATGAGCCGGAAATTACTGGATCAAGGTCGACAAGATCTTTGGCCGTCCAACACACCCACTGCACGCAACTCAGATTTCGATCCCTATGTTCATCTCTATGGTGCCGTGGCCGATGTGGGTGCAGCTGCATACCGGGATCTCGACAAGGACGACGTCGAGTCAACAAAAGAATTCATCTCTGCTTTAACAACATCTATCCAGCACTGTCCAACTTCTCACCTTGCCGTCTATTTGCGAAAAACTCAAGACTTGATTCAGGTTTGGGTTGAAGATGCCGAGGAAAAGATGCAGAGCAGAGACGAACCCCTGAAGAGCTTACACCGTGAGGTGGTCCAACTATGGCAAGAAGTGAGCAAGGCCATTGAACGGTTACCGCAACAGGACGGCCAAGCTCTACTTCACCTGGAGACCTTGCTCACTGCAGGCTTTGTCAGTAGGCGCCGAAGCATCGTCAACATCTCGATAGAGACCTGGAACAAGACGTTTGGAAAACAGGACAGTCTACAGTATCCCCCCAACCTCGAACAAGCTTTGCGTCGCTTGCGTAACAGTGTGGAACTCTCCCTACCCTCACTGGAAGTCCGAAAAGAGGATGCGGTAAGCACCCATGCCAAATAGGACTTTCCTAATCTAATACTGCCACAGAAGCACCAGCTTTCATTCTACGATTCTGACACCAGCGCCGACGATGTCAAACGGCAGTTCAAGAGTCCACGAGCAAAAGGTTCACCTTTCAAGATTTCAAAATCGACACGACGGTCAAAGTCCAGATCTCCTGCGGTCCCGACTCCAACATCCAGAAGGGTCTCTTCAAGGAACACACCCAAGGTTCGCTTACGACATGACAACTCACAGATTCAGTTCGAACCTATCGTGTCGTCACCGTCAAATCCATTCAATCAAGAGTCTCAAGTTTTGACAGAGCGCCAAAAGGAGATGATTGATCGCCAGAGGCTCGCATCGGGCCTATTCGCCAATATGGGTGCGCGCTCACCTCGACCCGAAGATGTACCCTCACCCATGGAGATGGATTCGGATGCCTTGACTGCGGACGACTTGCCGGGACATGCTGCTCGGGCAACCCCTCTTAGGGCTCTTGCAGCTATGGGACCGATGGACGCGTATCTTGGATCTTCTCCTACCCCCCACACTCGCAAAAGCACTCAAAATATTGTTAGTGATGATACTGATCTGGCCACACCGACTGCTGTACGGACCATTCAATACGCTCCAGACAATGGTCCAGGTTCTTCGCCACCTCGCTTCGAGAAAGACATGAGGCTAGAGACCGATGGAAACGATAGCGACGCTCCTATAGGGTCTAGCTTTGAATATGGACAACCAGGAAGCAACTATTCCATGTCCTTTGACGAAGGAACCACCATTGACGAGGAGGCTCTACTGGAAGCGGTCGCACATCATGAAAACCCACAGGCAGACGCACATCTCGCCTCAGACACCATAATGTCCGAGTTGCCCAGCTCAACCATAGACCTGGAACTGACCGCTCAAATCGATGCTGAGATGCATTCCTACGATGATCCAGCAACAGAAAGAACAGAAGAACCAGCATCTGAATCACAAAACGATTTTGTAGACGCTATTTCTCAACAGCAGTCTGTGGAAGATGCCGGCCAAGCAGGCATTTATGCAGAGGAAGAAACACGGACGCCGACTCGCGCTTCTACTCGTCGCGCTTCTCGCAGAAGCTCTCAGGCTGCCGCAAGCAGTGCAAGCAGAGTGGATGATTCTTTCACCGTGCTGCCTTCGGAAGAGACGCCCAACTCGCTCCGTCGCTCTACCCGCCACTCCACTGGCATTCCTCCCCTCCCACCAAGCGTAAAGAAACCCAGGCACACTCCTGGAAAGAAAGAGAGTAAAGCCAAGAATACCACTGCAGATGATCAGGAAAAAGCCAAAGCAGATACGCAGGAGACGAACTCGCAAACTGAAGATGCAACACCGGCAAACAACGCACCTGTGCCCGATAACATTGTTATCGCCGCCTCCCCGACACCTAAGAAGTCACGGGGAAAGAAGCGCAAATCAAGGAGCAGCGGTGTCGCGTCTGAGCCCAGTGCCACGGTCCCTGACAGCAGTCGCAAGCTCAACTTGCGTCGAGCTCACTCGACACTCAATCAAGTTGAAAACTCGCAGGACGTAGTTATGGACGACACGCCAGCCCCGAAGCGAGCAAAGCAGAACAACCACCAAGACGTCAGCGAAGCCAAAGAGACTTCGCCCCCCAGCCAGACAAAGCGCCTGAGCCACATCCAAGTGTCTCCACGTCCACGATCCCGCTCCTCCACCACCAAGAGCTCGCCCACACCCGCCAACGCCATCAATCCCGCTCCTCAATATGCTGCCACAGACAACACCGCCACACTAGTACACCCGTCCTCACCCGAACCCGAGCCCAAGCATGAATCCCAGCCACCATCCCAAACACATCTCCACACGCCCTCGCGCTCCTTCGCCGAACGCGTCATCCTCACACCCCGCAGCATCATCAACCAGCTCCGCAGCCTCAAAGATTACATTTTTAGCACCCCGCAGCTGGTGTTTAGCAGGGAGGAAGAGCGCGAAGTTAGTGATGCCGTGTTTCATATTCAGAGGGGCGTGTTTGCGGCGGGATTGAAGGTGCGTGAGGGGGGGCAAGAACATGAAGAACAGCAGCAGCAGCAGCAATAGTAGCGATAGTAATGTATTAGTTGTAAGTTGGTTGGTTGTGTCCAATTGGATTAGATTGGATTGAATAGGAGGGTAATGATACGTTGTATACAGAGCGAGCGAGACAAAAAAAGGAACGAAAAGAGTTAGATCCCAAGTTTTTTTTTTTTCAAAAAAAATGAGATTTTTGTACGTACGTACATGATTGTGTGTGTGTTTTTTTTTAAAAAAAAATAGGATATCCACAAAAGAAGAAGAAAAAAAGGGAAAAAGGGGAAAAAGAGAAAAAGGAAGGATATAATGCCGACTTGCATGGGGGCAATTGCGACTTGGGGGGGGGGGGGGGGGAGGGCGGGGAATTTACACATACACAAGTAAAGTAAGTAGTACAGACCCCTAGTCTTGTACATGGTGCGAAATCCCATGTATGTACCGATGAGTAGTATGTGTGTGTGTGTGTGTGCATGTATGTCAACTATCACCTCTGTATGTATATATATGGACCTTGTAGAGGATCAATGCTATATCTTGTGTATTACTCACGGATAGACTTGGACTTGTGCATGCGTATGTGTTTGTGTGATGAAGTTTTTTTTTTTTTTTTTTTTTTTTTTTTTTGGTTTTTCGGCGTGCGATATTCAAGGCGTCTGTTCTCTGCGTGTGCAGATGGATGGATGGATGGATGGATGGATGGATGTAGACATGAGTGGTGCAATAGAGACGTCAGGAGGCGTGCGGATTTGAGCGTGAGGGAATAGAATAGAGAAGAAGAAGAAGAAGAAGAAAAAGAGGAAAAAGAAGAGAGAAAGATCAGTTTGATATTTCATGCTAATGATATGTAGCGGGGAAATGTGGAGAGAGAGAGAGAGAGAGAGAGAGCTCATGGAGAGGGTGTAGAAAGAGGGTGGGTGTCTCTCGAGTACGAATATTCCAGCTACTTTGTACCTACATAACAACCTTCGCTGGTGATTTCCTGTCTCCCATCCCTCTCCCCTTCTTCCCCCCAAAACATCATAACATGGCACCACCATAAACACTCTGATCCGCATGTCTGGGTTGTCATTTCATTCTCTCTCTCAATCTGCCGTATCATTCTCCATGTCACATCATCATCATCATCATCATCATCATCCGCCTCTTTCGATAACCCTCTTCCCAGGCTAATCTTCCATCCGCTCCGCTCCGCTCCGTTCCCAACCCTCCTGCAGTTGCATAACGCCAGCCATGCTCATGAAAGCCGTTAACAATGGGCCGACAAAAAAAGCAAACGGAATTTCAAAATGATAGAAAAAACCTCCAACCGAAAAAAAAGAAAGGAACGAACGAACAACAAGGACTATTGCAGAAGGGGGTCACGGAAGTGCTTCTGGAAGTTGTGGCGTCTCTCGTTGCCAGCCTGGTAGCGGTTCTTTGCACGTTGTTCTTTCTGGCGGTCGCGCTTCTCGACGGCTTCCACTTCCTTCTTCTTTGCGTCTGTGACGCCCGTCATGCCCTGGAGGCCGTTGTTGCGCGAAGAGAGGAGCTGGCGCTTGACGTCGTGGCCGCGGCCACGAAGCAGGACTTGCTGTTGCTGGGCGTCTCCGTCCATGGGGGTGTCGCCGTCTTGGTCTTCGGGGGCGGCGGTGATGGCGCCAGGGATGGCGCGGCGTTGGGCATCTTCCATGCGCTCCGCGACGCCCGGGTAGTTGCGCAGGTTCTGGCGGTAGTACTTATTGAGCGAGCGGTGGCCGGCGGTGCGGCCGGATGGCAGGTGAAGCTCATAGTCGTCATAGTAGACGGCTTGGGGTGTGTGGTGAGCGTGCGAGTGGAAGCCATCGGCAGCGCGGTGCGGGCGAGGGTCAGTATGGCTGTGATGCTTGGACTTGCTGAGCGACTTGTGGCGGTGGCTGCGGTCAATAGGCACAGCGATGATTTCTTCCGTGGGTACGCTGGAAACAGTGCTGTCCGTCTCCCAGCCCTCGTCATCCTCGGCATTGCTTGACATGGCTGCGTCGTCTTCTGTAGTCGTCTTGGTCTCGCGCCTGGCCCCGAGCTTGATGCCTCCTCCGCCTGTGGTCGATGAGGAGTCGTCTGAGTCTTCGGCCTCTTCCATGTCGTTGAAGTCGGCGGCGTCTGGGTATGAACTCCGGAAGTCGTAGAACTCGCCAATCTCGACAAGCTCCACGTCGGTGTCGAAAGCAATCATGCAGTGGCCGCGGTCACGCATGTGCGTTTGTATACCAGAAGCAGTGTGGAGCACCTTGTGGCACATCAAGCACTCGTTGTACACATGTACCTTCTCGTGGAGGTACTTGATGAGCGCTTCGGGTTGTGCGAGATATTCCTTCTCGGGAATAAACATGCCATGGAAGCGGGCCATGTGTGTCAGGTTGAGCTGGAAGCCGGGGGATTTGTAATTGCAGAACAAGCAGTCGAGCAGAGGGTCACCGGCAGGCTTGGTTGAACCAGCAACCGAGCTCTTGTCGTCTTGAGTGGCAGCTGAATCTTGCGATTCCGGGGCCTCGTCATCTAGCGTAGCCTTCTCAACGCCATCCGCAAGAGTCGAAACGTCCTTGTCTGCGTCCCCGTTGACAGTAGCCTCGGACTCGGCCATGGACTCGCCAAGCGAAAAGGCCGAGCTGACCATGGAGCCGGTCACGGAGGCAGCATCGTCTAGATGGGCGCCCTTGGCCGACTTTGCCACATTCATGCGGTGTTTCTGGCTGTTGAGATGGTTGTTGTAGGCATTTTCGCTAAAATAGGTCTTTTGGCACGCGGCGCACACCTTCTCAAAAGAGGCTTTGGCGGCGGTAGCAGCGGCGGTGGCCTTGTTGGCGAGGACCTTCTCGGTGAAGATCTCAGAGGACAGAGGAGGGAGCGAGGCAACGCGGCGCTTGAGGTTGTAGCGATGCCAGTCCGTCTGCATGTGGGCGCGCTGCAGCCCGCTCGAGCGAAAGGCGACCTGGCATGTGTTGCAGGTGAAGGGGTGCGTCGACTGGATGTTGGCCTGGGTAGGGACCTGGGAGGCCATGGCTGCAGGTGTTGGCGGGCGTGTCGGGCGAGGGGTGGTGGGAGCAGAGGAGAAGAGAATTAACGGGCTTGTTGGTGGGGTTGAGTGTGGGCAGGCGTAGCGCGGACAGCGGGAGCGGCTTTATGACTGGGCGAGGCGAGGGGCAAAAAGCGCAGGGCCGGATGGCGGGGACGGGGCGCTGATGCCGGCGACGTGAGGCGGTGCTTGGGCGCCGGATGCTGAGGATGATCTTCACAGCAACAGCGGCGGAGGGTCGTTGGAATCGGGGCGGCGAGCGGAAACGCGGCGGCGAATATTATTCATGGGCGCCCGCCGGTGTCAGGGAATGACATCAGCTGGAATGCCAAGCCTCGCACACATGGCCATCCCTGCAGCGCGCGAGAGCCGCATGGCAGGCGCGACCGGCCGGCCAGCCAACCCACTGCTCAGCCCTACGCCCGCCTACGCCCGCCTACGCCCGCCTACGCAGCGCATGCCTCTCGCTCTCGACGACATGCTGAGTAAGAGGAACACGCCCGCATCCACATATTCCTAGCCACCGCCTCAGTCCCCAGCTGCTGCTCGCTTGCACACAGCACACGCCCGCTACTGCTACTGCGCCCGCAACCATGGAGCGCCCGCCCGCTTCGTCGTCGACAGGCACGCACGACGGGCTGCCAAGGCGCCCGTCACGTGCATCGACCAGCACACGTCTCGCCCATGTCGTCCAGGTGCAAGACCCGCGGCGCGTGCTCGAGTGCTCCCAGGCCGAGCGACAGCGCCACTTCCAGGCTCTCGTGCGCCAGTAAGCCCATCTCGGCCCGTACGCGTTGGGACGATGCACTAACCACGACAGTTTCCTCTCCCAGATGCTCCATGGCTGTAAGAGCGCCTACTGCACCACCCCCACCTGCTTCTCGTCCCACCGCCGCAACCCCTCCAAGCCCCTCCGTCCGCCTACGCACCTTACTGCCACCGCCCTCGCCCACTACCTCGCCAGCCAGGACAACCCCCAGCGAGCCCTCTGTCCCCACGAGCTTAAGGTAGCCCCCGCTTCTTTTGAGTTTGAGGGTACCCTTGCACATCCGGCGCATGGTTTGGAGCAAGACCCTGTTGTATATTCGTCAGCGGGGCACCAGGGACAGCAACAGGGAGACGCGCGGATCCAAAATGACCAGGCCCGCCGCCACTCGAGACAACATGATAACACCATGAGCGAACTCACACGGCGGCAACAGGCTAGGAAAGATCCCAGGGCGCTCGGCCAGAACTTGTACGACAGCTTGAGCATGATATATTCTTATACTAAGCAAATACCCAACTCCGCCTCTGTACTCGCTTCCCTCGACCCCTCCCATGGCGCCTCTTCCCAGGATGGGGATTGTTCCCGGCCAAGCCTGAGTGAAGGAGGCTCAAGTGCCGAGCATCTGTCAAATCCAAACCAGTCCACTGGCCCGGCACTCGCAAATGGAAAGCCTCGTACAGCCAACCAGCATTCGCAACCCAAGGCTAGAACTCATGATAATGTGACAACAGGCAATACGACTGCCCAGGTCGTTCGTAATGGTCAACAGATTCACAGGATACCCTACCATCCCCCTAACAGTCTCACGCGCAAGCAATCCACCACGGCCACAGACGCTACTCCAACCGACGGAACACCAGAGCCCACAATGCTTTCAATTTCAAAATCCGGGAGGAAGAGCTTTACCATTGGAGGGATGAAACCAGCTACTCCAAGCACCAAAACAACTGCCTCTAACGCAGAGACTCCTAAGAAGGAGCCTATCAACGGGGTCCATGCAAATCACGGCGTGTATGTCTTGCCTATTTTGAGTTGCAGTATCATGGATGAATTCAAGGAACAAGTGCGTCCGCGTGGAAGGGATAGGCCTGCATACCTCAACATTGTACACTATGACGCTCATTCAAGTCGACCAACAAAGCCGATTGTAAATCGATCCCTGTTCTACGCGCTGAGCGACCCTGAGACACTACTTTTATCTTTTCATGACAGCAATCAGGCATTCAAGGACTCGCCGCTTCCACATCTTGACTCGCACCGATTGGTGAATTCTTTCCGCGACTGGAGCCACCGAAATGGTGCGCTTATATTTGACAGCTTGTGGTTGGCATTGGAGGCTGTTTTTGTGCCGCCCCCTGAGCTCGGTCTTCACAAGAGCCCTCGTTTAAAACCATCGAGAAAGGGTGCCTCGTCTGAAGACTGGCCTGAGGAAACCCAAGTCAACAAAAAAGCAATCTTATCGCGCTACCTCAGCACCCAAGAAGCTGCGCATATCGTTATGATATGTATACACGCTCTGACCTCGTCAGTGCCAATAGGTTCGCCACACGTATGGGCACAGATACGCAAGTTACGATCGTGGGGTATCATTATACCTCACGAGGCTTCAGACACAGGCAGTTTTACGCAGCATTCCATGGACATTATCGACGCGCTTGAGCATGAGCCTGCATTTCGTCTTGCAAATCGCTTGTGTCGCGCAATTGGAATGCGTTGCTGCTTCGAACATATTCTTGGAAGCTTGAACCCTGGCGATGCAGAGTCTCCAGCGACCGACCAGTCCCTATTACATGTACTGGCGCAGCACCTCGAAGTAGTCGAGCGTGTTGAATTAGCCAACAAACGCATACTGAACCCTGACCAGGACATGGAGGGTGACCCGGGTTGGACCGTATCTGCTACTTTTATGGAATGGCTGCGAAGCGTCATCATCAAAGAATGGGACTCCAAGGCTGAGATCAACAAGTGGAGCAGTGTTGGTTCTGCCGTGATCACCCTGGATAATCTTTGTAAGTCACCAGAACACTGTTGGTAATGGGTAAGCTGACAGCTACAGACTCGAGATACCATCCTCTCAATCTATGTCCTAGCATGTTTGAATTGCCCATCTTGAGCGAGCGCCTTAATCCGGTGCAAGAACCTGCCGCATTCATTGCATGGGAAAACCAGCCCAACACCTTCCACGTTATGCAGTATCCCTGCCTATTCTCCACGCAGCATCTCGTCGCCTACTTTCGTACAATCAACTTTTCTGAAATGATGAGCCACTATGACCATACCATGAGGACCCAGCAGATGCAAGCCTCGCTCAAAATATTCCTTCGAGAGCCGTATTGGTGGGTGATCAAGAGTCGCATGAAGGTTACGCTTAGTGAATACTTGGTCCTGGATGTCAGTCGAGAAGACCCCCTAAAGGATACGCTGGATCAGCTATGGGGTCAAGATAAGAGAGTGTTACTCAAGCCGCTCAAGGTAAAAATGGGCCATGACGAGGGAGAGATCGGAGTCGATCATGGGGGCGTAACCTATGAGTTCTTCCGCGTGATTCTTGGTGAGGCCTTTAAACCTCAGCATGGTACGTACATAGAGAATTCTGTTAGATACAGTCTAACAGTGCTAGGCATGTTCACGATTGATTCACAGACCAGAATGACCTGGTTTCAACCCAAGAGTTTGGAACCACTGTGGAAGTTTGAGATGCTTGGCATACTGTTCAGTCTTGCTGTGTACAATGGCATCACGCTTCCAGTCACCTTCCCATTAGCGTTTTACGAATATCTCCAAACTACCGGCAATCCTTGCTGCACTTGCTCTACCGATTACGATGCCGTGGAGTTTATCCGAGATGGTTGGCCAACCCTGGCCGAGAGCTTTGAACAATTACTATTGTGGAACAATGGCGACGTGGAAGACATATTCATGCGCGAATACGTCTTTAGCTACGAAGTCTTTGGCAGGCGAATCGACCACAATCTCAAGCATCCATTCGCTACTCCAAGCACCACATCATCAGCGCCTCAGGACGAAACCCCCAGCGAAGAGCCAGCCATGGTCACCAACGCCAACCGTGACCACTACGTCCGCGACTACGTCCGCGCCCTAACCCACGACAGCGTCGCCCCGCAGCTCTCCTCCTTCCTCCAAGGCTTCCTCACCTGCATCAACGCCAAAAGCCTACATCTCTTCACACCCACCACTCTCCGCGCCCTCATCGAAGGCACCCAGCACATCTCCATCTCGGACCTCAAACGCTGCGTCAAATACGAAGACGGCTACTCACCCACTCACCCCACCATCCAGTTCTTCTGGTCCACCGTCGAGCAATACTCCCAGCAAGACCGCAGACACCTCCTCGAATTCGTCACTGCCTCCGACCGCGTCCCCGTCACGGGCTACGAAGGCATCACGTTCTATATTTCGAAAATTGGGGGCGCGCCTCATGCACTGCCGAGCAGCTCCACGTGCTTTGGGAAGTTGTATCTGCCAGAGTATAGGGAGAGGGAGGTTATGGAGAAGAAGGTTTTGCTCGCGATTCGCAGTTCGAGGGGGTTTGGGCTCGTGTAGGTGGATGGTGGTGGTGCGGATGGGTGGAAGGGAAAGGGGGGGGAGGAAATGAAAGGAAGAGGAGAGGTATGTGGATTTTTTGGGCGGTGGAGGTGTAGATTGGGATGAGGGATAGAATTGCGGTTGTCAGATAGTATAGGAATGATACAAAGGGCTTTTCTTGGTCTCTATTGTGAAAGAATTTATACGGCGTGGCTGCACTCACCTTCTCTCTAATCTGGAACCATCCCCCTGAATATCTAGCTAACCCTCTCTCTCTCCTTCTTTCTCCCTCTTGCCAAGATCCCTGTATGCCTTTACATTTGCTATGAAATATCCTCACTCAAACAACGCCAGTCTATCGATGCAGAAACCTCCATTCTTCCGAAGAGAAGCAACCAAGTCTTATACATGAACACATACTATTCTGCCTTTATCGATGTTTAAATCAGCGTATTGGAATGCCACTGAGTAGGATAAAAGCGTGTCGTATCGGTCTAGCCAATCAATGCTGCGTTTTTTTACATATTGGAAGAATGGTGTTTAGACATCGCGGGAGTATACTAAACACACGCCAATTCCACGCTTTCTCACATATTATAACATGCTACGCTACACAACAACAACAACAACAACAACAACAACAACAAAGTTCCAAGCCGTATATCTACATCCCACCTTGAACACATCGAAGAATCCAACACCCTCGCACTCCGCCAGCCATCCGCCAGCGAACTATGTATTCCATTGACTTCTTTGCCTCTCCCACGCATTACGGGGTAAAAGCCTGTTGCTGCCTGGATTTCTTTCGTGCCAAGGTACATACCGCTGCTGCTGTGGGGAGGTAAGATACCGTATGTACTGTATCGTTGTGCGGATGGAGATTGGGTTTTACTTTGTTGGATGGGGTGGGATTGGAGAGGGAGAGAGGGGGATCTACACTACATATTTCGTTCAATCATCATATTCCAGTAGACTTGTAGAAAATCTCCATACAAGTCGCTGAAATAAAATGTCACACACCGCATTTATCCTCCCTACTTGGCCCCTCCCATGCGGCATATACACCTGCAAACCCGCGACTTGTAGCGGTAGCAAGGTACCCAAGGTACGTATTTATTAGAGGTGTCTTGGGCGCTTGAGGGGCTGCTGTTGGAGTGAATGTGGCTTGTGTGGGAGTGATGGATGGGTTTGAGATATGTAGGTATGGTTAATCGGGAAGGGGGGGGAGAGGTTTGAGATCTGTGAGAAGAGCGGGATTGGGGATCGAGGGGCTTAGTTTGATACGCTTCGGATAACTTTAGGGATTGATTTGGGGGTGTTGTTGTATAGCTTTTACGTGGTCATTATTATTATTATTGCTATTTTCACTCGTGTTTTCATTGTTTCTATTTCATTGCTGTTGTTATCACTGCTATTATAATCATGACTATAGTAGTTTCAGCTCTTTTCCATGTGTCCAAATGGTAATGTCCACGATCAGGTAGGTGTGTTATTGTAGTGTAGTGTTGGAAATGGAAAAAAACTGTCTGTATAAGGGAACTGATCAGTCTCTACTTTTCTGCCTCGCCTACTGACATTTTGTGCTTATAATGAATCTAACTGTCATATCAACAATCTAGCTCACCAAAAAGCTGAATGTCAAAGATCAGAAGTCTGCTTCGATGCAAAATAACTAGCTTCTACACAATGTCGTAAAAGCTTTGGGAAATCGCGCATAGAGCTGCTGCACTTCTTCCTTCCTCCCCATGCGTTTATAGACAATACCCAGATTATGCACTGTTCTCAGTGTACATGGATGGTCTAGTCTGAGTACCTTCTCATGTCCGTGCAACGCGCGCAAAAACATTGCTTCTGCCTCATCAAGTCGTTCCTGTTTTACATAAAGCCCACCCAAGTTATGCACTATACTTAATGTAGACGTGTGGTCTGGCCCGAGTGTCTTTTCCGTTCCGTGTAACGCTCGCAACAGCATTTCTGTTGCTTCGCTATACCGCCCGTCATTTGCATACAGGGCACCTAGATTGTTGACGGTGTCCAGAATGGAAGTATGATCAATCCCAAGTGTTTGCTCATTTCCGTGCAGCGCCCGCGTGTACATTTGCTCTGCAAGACTAAAGCGCTCTTGGCGTGAATACAGCATACCCAGGTTATTGACTACACCGAGTGTGAAGGGGTGGTTGGGTCCAACGGCGTCCTCAAAGCTATACAAAGCGCGCAGAAATGTGTCTTCTGCCTCGGCGAGTCTCCCCTGGTTATAGTAGACAATGCCTAACTCGTTGGTTGTCGTAATTGATGTCTTATGTCCTGGTTCTGGTCCCTTTTCGTAACCCTGCAGTGCGCGCTGGTACATCTCCTCCGCCTTGTTGAGTTTATTCTGATGGCTGTATAGAGTTCCTAGGCGGCTGCACGTGTTCAATGTAACGATCTCGTCTGGTCCAAGTGTTGTTTCAAAACCGTGCAGCGCGCGCTCGTACATCTTCTCAGCCTCGTTGAGTTTGCCTTGTTGGGTAAATAGATCGCCCATACTGTTCATTATCTGGAATGTTCCTATGTCATACTCCCCCACTACGGTTTGGCAGCTGCGAGAAGCCCAGCCTAATATCTCCTCTGCCTTGTCTAGCTTTTCTAGACTCGAATATAAAACACCGAGCTTGTTCAGAGCACACAGGATACGTCTGTCTTGTTCGAATCTCCCTTCTTTGATACTCAACCAACATTTAGAGGCATGTTGCAAAAGCCTTCGTCGAGTCACCCAAAAGCCTTTGATGTCGTTAGATGGGATATGAGAGCTAGTGCAATTGAAAGCAAGTCTTTCCATATCTGTACTCCGCTCGTGATTTAGCACATGGATTGTCCATTCATGGACACAGCTGTGCATACTGTATCCTGGCGATTCAATGTCGTCTGTATCCGACAGCCCGTATGCCTCTGCCAATCCATGGTTGCACAGCACCCTCATGGCTTGGTTGAAACTAAGCTCGTCTTGTGTCAGTTGACGGAACCATTCTGGGCCAGCTGATTGTTCTTCTTTCAAGAGCTCAAACCACAGGTCCTGGTTGTCGAAATAAGCCCATAGATGGAGAAGCTTTGCTGACAACTCGTTTTGTTGTTTTATGTGATCATACGATAGTTGCCATGTCGTGTACAGCTGCCGGTCTTCGTAAAAGCTCAATTCTGGGGTTGTTTGGTGTAGCTTCAGCCATGAGGCCTTGTACAGGCGAAGGTAGTCCCGGAAACTGGTTGTCACCTGTTCAAGGTAAGCGCCAGCAGTTGCGAGGGCAAGTGGGAGTCCGTCTAGTTCTTGGGCGACGGCTAAAGCATCGGGGTCTATCATGCCATCAGCGTTTTGTCATGGAGCCTTGGATTGATATACCCCACCGTTCAAAGCATCCTTTCGCCGCGAAGCATCACACAGAATCTGAAGGCTCTCGCTCATATCCTGTAGCTTGCGCACTTGAATACGATGGCCGATGACCACTTGCGAAGATCTCGTCGTGACGAGGATCAATCCGTGATCTGCGTTCGGGAGAAATTGACGAATATCAACCGTGCCAGGGTTTGTTGTGTTCGGGAGCTTCGGGTTGTCGTAGTTATCAAGTACCATGAGCCAACGTGTGTTTTGGGGGTGCTCCAGCCATTGCTTAACGGCGGTTACAACATCATCTACGTTACTCGCCTCCGCAACCGAATTGAGGTGACTAGCAGTGGAGCAATGCTGGCCAATCCATTTCGCCATCCTGCTATAGCTCTGCTTCACAGTGTCTTGGTCCTTGATATTTAGCCAGAACACGGCCGAATAGTCTGTCTTGTGACGTTTAGCATACGCGACCGCCAGCTGCGTCTTACCAATTCCACCTAAGCCATGAAGCACAACCGTTCTTCGGCTATCTTTGTGGTCTTTGCTGCAAAGAACGGCATGTATATCTGCCAGCTCCTGCTGTCTGGCCACAAAATGGTCCGTCTCCAAAACTCCGGCTAGATTGAAGCCGACAGAGAAAATATCTTGCGGTTTGGTGCGAGCTGCGTATTAAAAGGTGTTGTAAATATCATCGGTACTTACTGCAATATCATTGAAGCTACCTACCAACATCCACTTTGTCCTCTTCTTCCCATCGAGACAAAATAACGTGCTGTGCACACTGGACCATGATTTTTAAGTGCCCAGAGATAGTCTTGTAAGCGCCGTTCTCCTTCGATTCGAATCTGACCATGTTTCTATGATCGGCATGGATGGCAATCGGCTCAGCGTCGGCTGCGCCGGGGACAACTGCTGATGCTTTGGGAACGACCTATACAGTAAGCGACTATACCTTGTTGAGAAACAGAAACATAATAAGAGAGAATGTCCCCTTATGGTTGGGGTCTCGTACTCTTCAAACGCAAACTTTGTTACAAAGTCGCGGCTGATGGGTCCATATTGACCGAGCTGCTGCTGAAGCCATTCCGATTGTTCACCCAGATGCTTGATGAGGCGATCATCCGCTGTCACAAATACTGATGCCACGTTCAACAGTAACTTGCCAAGCTCCACTCCGTTTCCGCCCTGGTGCGGCGTGCCCATGAAGAAGATACCATACGTAGATGTTTTAATCGAGCGGTGCTCCTTCAACGCGCCCTCTCGGGCGGCATCCGAGTGGATAAGTGCCTAGACAGTCAGCTACAGAGAGTGTATTATTATTATTATTATTATTCTAGTTTAACGTCCTTTTTCAGCCCGAAGGGCTATATAAGACGTGTAGGGTTTTTAGGACCTACAAGTATCTAA